CGCGGCGGGCGGCGCGGGCGGAAAGCCGGGCACCGTCTCGATGATGAGGACGCTGTCGGCGCGGAGGGCGCGCACGCCCGGCACGCGGCTGTACCGCTCCAGCAGCCGCGCCCCCGCCGCGCCCGCGCCGCGCCGCCGCTCGGCCTCCAGCCGCATGAACGGGTTCTCACGCAGCGGGCCCAGGCTCTCCGCCAGCACCCGCTGCTCGGGCTCCGCCGCGCCAGGCCCCGCGCCCCCGCCCAGCGCGGCCAGCTTGGCCCGCTTCCGCTCCAGGATCTCGCGCTTCCAGGCGGGCAGCGCGGAGCGCTGCGCCGGGCCCGGCCGCCCCAGGGCGGCCATGCTGTGGACGCGGCCGCGAGCGGCGGGACTGAGGGCCGGAGGGGCCGCCGCCGCTGCGGACCCGGGCGCCGCGGCCACGCCCCCTCCCGGCCGCCGCCCATTGGGGGAAGCTGGCTGGCCCCGCCCCCCGCGGGAGGCCCACCTATGGCAGCGGAGGGAGCGGGCCCATCAGTGACCCCACCGATTGGCCAACACTCGCCTCAACCCCGCCTCCCGAGGGACCTCACTGGACGACGCCTGTCACCGGCACCGCCCCCATCGGTGAAGGCCCCTGGGACACGCCCCGGCGCCTCGCGCGGCTCAGTGGCCGCTTCCGCGTCTTAGCTCTCGGCTCCTGGCGTCCCGGGCGGAGCAGGGTGGCGGCCCCTGGGCCCCGCGCCCCGAGTGACCTTGGACGAGCTTGGGCTTCCTTACGCGGCCAGCACCCAGGCCGCCTGTTCCCTCCGCTGAGAGCGCGGTGCAGGAAGGGGGCAGCTCCAGGACCGAAGGCACCCGCGCCCGTGGACGGTGCACAAGCCACGCACTGGCCCGGACCCTGCTTTCACCAATGGTCCTCCGACCTCCGGCAGGTGCCTGCGGGCTTTGGAAATGCCAGTTCAGGAGCCCCGCCCAGCCCCGGCGAATCAGTTTCTCATAGGCTGCCCAGGTGGGAGCCTCTTAACCCAGCCTTGCCACCCGTGGTCCCCCCAAACCAAAGCATCTGCAGGAGTAGGCACAAAGGAAGCAGCCTCTCCCCCGCCCCCGCGAACACAGGCGGGCTCACCAGGGCTCTGCATGCTTTGACAGCTCTCCCACGCAGAAACAGCCAAAAAAGTCAGAGTAACGGTGGGCCTCACAGAGCCCGCCCGTGTGTCTGATCACTCCACCCTGCTGCCACGTTAAGGCCACTCCTCTCATCTGTTGAACTTCTCCCCATCCCAAGGCTCCAGATGCCATGACCCCGAGAGCACAGCCTCCAGGCTGACAAGTCCCCACGAAGCCCAAGGCTTCTGCCCCAGGAAGGGCTGTGGAATGCTCCCACAGTCTTTCAAGCCTGCAGACAATAGGCAGACCGCTTGGAGCCATGGGGAGAAGGGGGATCGCAGTGCACGAACACCTCCGTCTTTCTATTACCTGCCCTGCAGTCAGCAGCCTGCTCAAGTAGACACTGCTGTTTCCCACACCACTTGCCTTTCAGGGACAGGGCTCCAAGGTCACCCGGGTCTCTGAAAAGACGTAGAGGTTTTTTTTGTTTTTTTTTTTTTTTACCTGGGGATAGCCTTCTCAGCTTCTGTGCCCCATAACATCTGCACCACCACTTCGTTAATGCTGTCTTATTCTCCTGCCACTCCATTAAGCTGGATAAAATAAACTTTTTGTTTTTGTTTTGTTTTGTTTTTGAGACGGAGTCCTGTTCTTGTGGCCCAGGCTGGAATGCAGTGGTGCGATCTCGGCTGACTGCAACCTCCACCTCCCAAGCTCAAGCGATTCTCCTGGCTCAGCCTCCCAAGTAGCTGGGATTACAGGTGCCCACCACCATGCCCAGCTAATTTTTGTATTTTTAGTAGAGATGGGGTTTCACCTTGTTGGCCAGGCTGGTCTCAAACTCCTGACCTTGTGATCCGCCTGCCTCAGCCTCCCAAAGTGCTGGGACTACAGGCGTGAGCCACTGCACCCGGCCAAAATAAACTTTCATTTCAGCCTTCCAGAAGCCGAGTGCCTCCCTGCTTACAGTCCTCCTCCAATCACTTTCTAAGAAGGAAGTGTCTGGTGTTCATCACTTCTACACTAATAGGGTTGCTCCAATTCTGAACTAGCAAAATAAAACAGGGGAACACATAAAACACAAAATCTAGAAACAAATAACATTGCGAGGAAACTCACTCCCACTGTTCAGCTTGAATCCGGCTTTGACATTAGTTATGCCAGTTCCAGGCAGGACACATTCCTGAGGCTGTGCAACGCACCAGACAAGTTGCCTGCCACGCCCCCAACATGAGCCCCTCCGTGGTTTACACAGCCAGGCATCCACGCCAGGCAGAGGCTGACGCTGTACTCTGCTCGCCATGCTGATGCCTGAGAACAAAGGCTAGTGCACCTTTCTGGAATGAGCCAGACAGGAATTTTTTTTTTTTGAGACGAAGTCTTGCTCTGTCACCCAGGCTAGAGTGCAGTGGCGCGATCTCAGCTCACTGCAACCTCTGCCTCCCAGGTTCAAGCGATTCTCCCTCCTCAGTCTCCTAAGTAGCTGAGATTACAGGCGTACACCACCAGGCCCGGCTCATTTTTGTATTTTTGGTAAAGATGGTATTTCACCATGTTGGTCAGCCCGGTATCAAACTTCTGACCTGGTGATCCACCCATGTCCGCCTCCCAAAGTGCTGGGACTACAGATGTAAGCCACTGCACCTGGCCCCAGATAGGAAATATCTTAGCCCACTGGTTTTTGCCAGGTACAATTTTGTCCCCCAGGGCCCTTGGCAATGTCTGGATAAACATCTGATTGTCACAAATGAAGGCTGCTACTGGCTTCTCCCCACGAAAGGCAGGGGCACTGCGAGACAGCCTGCATCCGCACTAAAGAATCTTCTGGCCTCAAAGGCCAAGAGTGCCGATTAAGGGACCTTGGACTCTGAGGGTCACATTCACTCTGTCACACGTTTTGCTTTTGCTTTTAATTCTTTAGGGGTATAAAAACCATCCTCAGCTCAAGGGTCATACAAAACAGGCCTTAGGACACTGTTTGCTGGTCTCTGCTCTACCGAGTGCCAACAAGGCCACAAAGACCACACACTGGCAAAAAGCCATGAGCTCTGTGATCACAAACTATTCAACAAATCTTCAACATGGGCCCAGAGTGCTGTCTTCACCCGAGGGGATGGGGGGGGTGGTGGTGCCTGAATTACCAACCTCCTAGAGCAGGCAGGAGGGATTCTCCAGAACAAGTGATTCCCACCACCATCCACTAAGCTCTGGCCACAGGTTTCAATGCATCTAAAACCACAGCTCTGTCACCAGTTACACCATGTAGCAGAAGTATCTCAATATTCACCCTATTTAACCCTTCAGAGGCACAACCAAACACTATTCATTTCAGGAAAACATTCTCTTACTTTATTTGCATCTCAGCAAAGGTTCTCATTTGGCACCTGAGTGGCATCAAATCAAAGTCTGTAGGCCAACAAAGCTGGGCCACTCACGAGCTTGCCATTGGTAGGTCTCCATGCCTATTGAGTATCCGACACCTGTTCCTCTCTTCAGTCTCTTAGGGAGGCTTAAATCTGTCTCAGGTGTGCTAACGGTGCCAGCCACAAGGTGATGAAAAAGTCCATACAACTTCAGTCTTTGCCGGGATGGGAAGCCAAGCAGCGCCTTGACAGCAGAGTTCTTTTCTTGGGTAACAGATAACCAGACAAGACCCTAATTGTGCTCTTATTCAACATTCTTCTGTCTCTGCCTAGACTGAAATAAAGAGCCAACCTCTCCCGTGGCACAGGGGAGGAGATACAAGCTCGTTTACATTTGATAGATGTGAAGAACACATCTACCGAAGTCTGGTTCGGATGGACGGTGCAGGGAGCTCTTAGGTCAGCGCTGCTGGTTGCAGGACATCCCTGAGTCCAGCTTTGCAGCTTTGTGGAGCAGTACTTTCCCAGGACCCACAGGAAATACTCAAGAGTCCACCTGGACATTTTACTTATATTGAGTTTCCGAGTGTCAGAGGAGTTCAGGACTGTCTGGCCTGGGGCCCTCCTCAGGACAAATCAGGATTACCTACTCAAAGCATGAAATAAAAGGAAATACATTTTAAGGATGAAGGCTGCTCTTTTAAGCCCTGCTGAAGAAACCATTTCAGACATGATTGGAATAAAAAACCGGGCACTCAGCTCGGCGCAAGCAGGAGTTGCCTTCCGACCAAAGAACCTCTCCTCCAGTACAGCGCAAATAGGACCTCGGCTTGAGGTCAGCATTCTAGCCGTCCAGCGCTCTCCCTCCGGCACCTCGAAGAGGCTAGTTGACCCGACAGGCGCGGATCATGAGCAGCTGCAGGAGAATGAAGACCGGGGACGTGATGAGACCGAACCAGAGCTCCCGAGTCTGCTCCGCCAGCTTCTGGCACAACAGCATCTCGAAAACGAACTTGAGACTCAGGACCGTGAGGACCCAGAAAAGGCGGAGCACCGCCAGCCGCTTCTCTCCGTCCTGGAAGAGGCGGACCGACACGATGGTGGTGAAGTAGGTGCTGAGCCCGTCAGCGGCGAAGAAAGGCACAAACACGTTCCACCAGGAGAGGCCCGGTACCAGGCCATCCACACGCAGTGCCAGCAGCACGGAGAACACCAACAGGGCTAGCAGGTGCACGAAGATCTCGAAGGTGGCGAAGCCCAGCCACTGCACCAGCTCCCGGAGCGAGAAGAGCATCGCGCCCGTTGAGCGCGGGCCGGGGCCCGGCCGAGCGTGCCACCCGCGGAGCTGCGTCTCCTCCGCCCACGGCCCTCGCCCGCGCGTGCCGCCGCTGCTGCTGCGAGCGAGAGGCGGCGAGCGTCCCCGCCAGCCCCGGCCCTCGGCCCTGGTTCGCCGCCAACCTCCCGGCCCCAGACCGGGACTCGACACCGGCCGCTAGCGGACGCCCGCCTCGCTCGGACGCCATGCCCCGCCGGGCGCGTCCCGACTGCGTCACTTCCGGCCGACAGCGGAAGTCGGAGTGGTCCCTGCCGCCCTTCCGGCGGGAACTGCCTGCCAGTCCTCAGTCTCCGAACGGGAGTCCCCGGCGCGCCGCGATGGTGGTCCCGCAGCTCCTGGTGCTCTTCGGCAGCCAGACGGGCACTGCTCAGGATGTGTCGGAGCGGCTGGGTCGCGAAGCCCGGCGCCGGCGGCTTGGCTGCCGGGTGCAGGCCCTGGACTCGTACCCGGTGGTGAGGGCTCGCGGGGGCATCGGCGGAGGGCCTGGGGGGCCGGGGGACCCGCCCCTTGGGGTCGTGACCCAGAAGGCGTCGCATTTAGCCTGAGAGCGGGTCCCTCCCTTGCGGCGGATTTAGGAGAAGGGGAGGAGGTTGGAGCCCGAACGAGAGAGGACGGTCCGGCCGCCCGCAGAAATCCCCCTGCCCGGTCAGCCTGGCGAAGGCGAGGAGGGCCAGGTTTCGGGACGGCCGCCCGGCGCTTCCAGCCGGAGGTCTGACGTGTGTGTGTCTTTCTGTTGAGGCGAATCTGATTCACGAGCCCCTGGTGATCTTCGTTTGTGCAACTGCAGGCCAGGGAGACCCGCCCGACAACATGAAGGTAAGGCTGGCCCCGTGGCTCCCCGGATCTCCGCCCTCGCCTCTTGCCCCGTTCTCATTGCCCGGATTCCAGGTGCAGTAAACAGCTCTCCCCCTCCATCTGAAGACATTTCAGAGGTGGATTTGAGAGGACGTCCTTGAGTGGAGCTGGGGGCTTTGGTTGTCCTCTCTAATAAACTCTTCATGGCCACCAAATAGCGTTATTATCCATTCTAGCCTTTTTTCTTTTTCCAGGGCTATGTGTGCATCTAGTCTGTGTCTTGTGCGATTCTCTAGCCTGTATGACCTTCAGGGAATGTTAATTCTCTGACCATCTTTTCAGCACATACTATCTTCCTGGCACAGCCTGAGTCTGGGGATTCAGCTGTGAACCCAGCAGCCATACTTTCATCCTCAGAGAGTTCACACTGTGGCAGAAGCAGCTAATGGACAGTCACGGTGCCGGGAAACACCTGCTGCTGGGGAGAGGCGCAGATGTGGGAGCACTGATAAGGGGCGTCGAGCCTTTTCTAGCCCAGCTTTGGGGCCCAGGCAGAGGTTTGCAGAAGAAAAGAGTGTCAGCTGAGTCACTGAAGGATACGTGAGGGCTAACCAGGCCCCAAGGAAGAAGGAGCAGTCTGTGTAGAAGAGAAAGGTGACTTGGCTTGTGTGAACAGTAGAAAGCAGTTCTGGCCAGGCGTGGTGGCTCACACCTGTAATCCCAGCACTTTGGGAGGCTGAGGTGTGTGGATCACTTGAAGTCAGGAGTTCAAGACCAGTCTGGCTAACCTTGCGGTGAAACCTTGTCTCTACTAAAAATACCAAAATTAGTTAGGCATGGTGGTGTGCACCTGTATCTCAGCTATTCAGGAGGCTGAGGGCAGGAGAATCACTTGAACCTGGGAGGCTGAGGCCGCGCCATGGCACTCCAGCCTGGGCCAGAGTGAAGCTCCATCTCAAAGAAAGATGAGAAGCCCTTCTAGAAAGTGTAATAAAAAGCAAGGCAGAAAATGCAAGGAAGCAGGTACCAGAATTCAAAGATCATTCCAGTGGCCTCAGAATGAGAAGACAACAGCAGAGAGGAAGTTATCCCGGAAAGTAACAAGGTATCCAGAGCGGGTCTGCAGCCGGAGAGCCCCGTGCCCAGGAAGGGCCCTGCTGAGAATGAACGGGCTACCCTCGGGCATGTCATTGTGGGTTTAGCTGCTGGGGACGGAGTGCCTTACACACCCCAAGGGTGGCAAGTGGGACCCTAGCTTTTTCAGCAGTGGTGCCAAGCCCAGGACTAACTCAGCTGCTTGCCAGTTGTGAGGGAAAAGTCACAGCAATGCTCTCTCCTGAATCCTTTTCTCAGGAAGGAGGAAGTTCCTCAAACTGAGCACGGGAAAGCCCTTTGGAATTCCGGAAGCAAGGGGGTCTCACCAGCAGTGGACGCTGTGGGGGGGGGGGGTCTGGGGCAAGAGGCTGAGTACATTTGCTTACACAGCGTGACCCAGTGAGGCAGCTGATGAGGGGGTGAGGTCCCAGGAGGCCATGAGTGGTGCAGGGCCAGGGTCAAAGCTGTGGGCTGACAAAGCCAGGGCCTCTACTCTGGCCTCCATGCTTGGCCATAGGATGGGGAGGTGGGTGGGCTGTGAAGACCACACAGACAGGCCACCTGGGATGCAGGTGAGGGGCAGCAGGCTCCTTGTGGAGGGGCCTCCTATCAAGCCTGGAGGCCACCACGGAAGGCGGGTTGTGGAATGGGATAATCTGAACACTGCTGGCTCAAGGTCCTGCAGCCACGGAAGTTAAGAGATGTGTCCCAGAGACACGCACCTCGGCCACAGAAGGAAGGGGATGTGTCGCAGAGACACGGACCTCGGCCACGGAAGGAAGGGGATGAGTCCCAGAGACACGGACCTCGGCCACGGAAGGAAGGGGATGGGTCCCAGACACTGGGATCTCAGATGTGGGTGTGGGGGTCTGTGGGATGGACCTCAGAGCTCCCGGTGTGGGGGTCTGTGGGATGGACCCATTCAGCCGCAGAGGCCCCCGCTCTGGCTGGGAAGTGACGGGTGGAGGTGAGGTACTCCTGTGGAGGTACACAGCTTGAGGAGTGAGTGCAGAGCTGTTTCTGGCGGCTCAGAGCCGGGGGCAGGGGAGGGTGACGTCCCAGGAAGGGAGCCCCACACAGGCCAGAGTGCGCAGCAGGCTGTCTGGCTCCCGTGGGCAGGGTGGGCCCTGGTCTCCTCAGGTCCTGCACCAGCTGTGCCTCCTCCCAGTGCCCCTCGCCCTGCTGGCTGGACCTGGGCCTTGCCTTTTCGTCAGATCCAGTTCCATTCTGCCGCTTCTTGCCCTCTCTCTGTTCCCCTGAGACCGTCCCCTCGCTCTCTGGTTTGGGGCTGGCCCAGAGGCTTGGGACTGATGCGGGGTTTCCTCCGGCTGCAGAACTTTTGGAGGTTCATATTCCGGAAGAACCTGCCCTCCACTGCCCTCTGTCAGATGGACTTTGCCGTCCTGGGCCTCGGGGACTCCTCATATGCCAAGTGAGTACGGGACAGGACAGTTCCAGGGGTGCAGCTGCCAGACCAGCTTTCAGGGTCGGCCCTGCAGGCCACAGGGCCCTTGCAGCGGCACTGGCTTCTCCACGATACGCCCTGGTGGGCGCCCCAGACCTCACGCTGTGGGAGGGCACAGAGGGAAGCAGGCAGGGTGGCAGAGGGCTGGGCTCAGAGCCACACCGACGTCACAGAAGGCTACCTGGCACCAGTCCCCACTGTTACAAACACGTGTGCCATGGAGTGTTCAGGACTTGGAGGTGGAGGTGGGCCCTGTGTCCTGCTGCTGCCCCAGCGGCTGCCTCCGCCTTTTCCCCAGGCATTTCGCAGGGCTCACCTGCCCCTGAGCAAGGAGTAGGGTGTTCAGTGTGCAGATGGTATCTTTAGACCCACAGCGTTGAAACCCATGGCCATCCATGCAGGGCCCAGGTCTGCGAGCCCCGAGCGTCAAAAGCCGAGTGTGTAGTGGGGTCTCATCGCTTCAGATGAAAGGAAACGGGAAGGCCGGCGGTAGCCCACCCGTTCTGCCGGGAGGCTTGTTCTGGGCGTGATGTGTGTGTTCAGGCGAGGGAGGGAGCCTGTCTGTTGACAGCGTTCCCAGAGAGGAGCGAAACCCAGGGCCCGTCATGCCTCAGAACCAGAGTGAGAAGCGAAACTGACCCCCAGGAAGATGCCTGGCCCTCTCCCCAGCCCGGAGCTGCTTTGCTGAGAAGTGACCCACACCTTGGCTGGGGGCCTGGAGGGCTCCATTGTCTCAACTCCCTGTCCAGAGATGAGGGCCCATCAGTGGCACAAGGCCACACGCCTCCACCCACACAGGCTGGTTCTCCACGAGCAGAGGACCTGCTGCTCGGGGCCCTGCCGGCTGCCTGGTCTCAGCAGCCCCTGGCGTGTGGAGACGCTGCCCCCTCCTAGGGCGTGGCCAGCATGGAGTGTTGCCAGCTGAGGAAGTCCCTGCCCGGGTTGCGCTCTGCCCGGCTCCAGCCCGGGACCAGCCTTGCTGTCTCTGCAGGTTCAACTTTGTGGCCAAGAAGCTGCACCGACGGCTCCTACAGCTTGGGGGCAGTGCCCTCCTGCCCGCGTGCCTGGGTGACGACCAGCATGAGCTGGGGTGAGTCTTCAGGGCTGGCCCTGCCTCCATGGTCTGACCTGGCCACGCGCCAGGTCCGCTCAGGCCAGCACATGTGCCCCCTCCCAGGCCCGATGCTGCTGTGGACCCCTGGCTGCGAGACTTGTGGGGCAAGGTTCTGGGGCTGTGCCCGCCGCCTCCAGGCCTCGCTGAGATCCCTCCCGGCGTCCCGTGAGTATGGCCCCAGGTCACCCGCAGGCGGCCTGGGGACCTCGCCTGGGTCCCACCCGTGAGTGTGGGTGGCCCCTGGGTCGGGGGGTTTCTGGTCTGAAGAGCCTGCCCTCCCACAGCCTGCCCTCCAAGTTCAGCCTGCTGTTCCTCCACGAGGTGCCCAGTGCAGGCTCTGAGGGGCAGCAGGTGGCTCACCCTGGCTCCAGAGAGCCCCCATCGGAGTCGCAGCCTTTCCTGGCACCCATGATCTCCAACCAGAGAGTCACCGGCCCCTCCCACTTCCAGGACGTTCGGCTGATTGAGTTTGACATCTCAGGCTCTGCCCTCAGGTGAGGCCCGAGACACCAGGTGGTGGCGGGGACTGCTGGGGTTCAGAGGAGGCCGGGCTGGGCTGCAGGGGATGGCCTCCATCCGGGGCCCCTGGGGGCTTCTCCTCACAGCTTCGCTGCCGGCGATGTGGTGCTGATTCAGCCCTCCAACTCGGCGGCTCACGTCCAGCAGTTCTGCCAGGCACTGGGCCTGGACCCTGAGCAGCTCTTCACGCTGCAGCCGCGGGAGCCAGGTGAGCCCAGCCTCAGCCAGCCTGACTCTCTGCCCTCCCCCATGTCCTCGGCCCCCACCCCGAGGGCCCCACCGCAGCCCACAGAGGCTCCCACTCACCCTGCAGATGTCCTCCCACCCACAAGGCTGCCCCAGCCCTGCTCCGTGCGGCACCTCGTGTCCCAGTACCTGGACATCGCCAGCGTGCCTCGCCGCTCCTTCTTTGAGCTCCTGGCTTGTCTGTCCCTCCATGAGCTGGAGCGGGAGAAGCTGTTGGAGTTCAGTTCTGCCCAGGGCCAGGAGGAGCTCTTTGAATACTGCAACCGGCCCCGCAGGACCATTGTGGAGGTGAGGATGGCCAGTGTGGCTGGTGGGGCCCAGCCCCTGAGCCAGGGCCACACTTCAGCCACTCCGAGCCTCTCTCTGCCCAGGTGCTGTGTGACTTCCCATACACAGCCGCCGCCATCCCCCCGGACTACCTGCTGGACCTCATCCCCGCCATCCGGCCGAGGGCCTTCTCCATCGCCTCCTCCATGCTGGTGAGGGGCCCCAGGAAAGCTGGGATGGGGCTGTGGGGCTCTGTGGGCAGAAGTTATGCTCTGACCAGGTGACAGTCCCCTATCAAGGACCGCCCCTGGGTGATGTGGCTGGGGCCCACAGCCCAGGCAGCAGGTGTGGGCAGCCTTGTGCCATCACTCTCAGCCCACCGTCCTCCCCAGGCTCACCCCCTCCTCACTGTCCTCCCCAGGCTCACCCCCTCCTCCCCATTGTCCTCCCCAGGCTCACCCCCTCCTCACTGTCCTCCCCAGGCTCACCCCCTCCTCCCCACCGTCCCCCACAGGCTCACCCCCTCCTCCCCACCATCCTCCCCAGGCTCACCCCCTCCTCACCGTCCTACCCAGGCTCACCCACCCCTCCCCACCATCCTCCCGAGGCTCACCCGACCTCCCCACCATCCTCCCCAGGCTCACCCCCCCCACTGTCCTCCCCAGGCTCACCCCCCCCCACCATCCTCCCCAGGCTCACCCCTCGAGGCTACAGATCCTCGTGGCTGTAGTGCAGTTTCAGACTCGCCTCAAGGAGCCCCGCCGGGGCCTCTGCTCCTCCTGGCTGGCATCCCTGGACCCGGACTCTGGGCAAGGTGACCCCTGCTCCCAGGGTGGGGGCCATGGCCCGGTGTCCCCTTCTCCCAGGCCCACGCGGATGCTGGGCCAGGGCCCCAGCAGACTCGGAGCTGCCTTTGAGCCTCTTCATACCACCTCTCTCCTGTAATAGCACCTGTCCGGGTGCCCCTGTGGGTGCGGCCTGGGGGTCTGGCCTTCCCAGAGATGCCAGACGTGCCTGTGATTATGGTGGGGCCCGGCACCGGGGTAGCCCCCTTCCGAGCAGCCATCCAGGAGCGCGTGGCCCAGGACCGGACCAGTGAGTGCCTGGGGTCCCGGGATAGGGTTGTGGTGGGGGCTTCCAGCAGAAGTTCAAGGACCACCCTGCATTCCCCCAGGAAATGTCTTGTTTTTTGGCTGCCGCTGGCGGGACCAAGACTTCTACTGGGAGGCGGAGTGGCAGGAGCTGGAGAAGCGGGGCTGCCTGACCCTGGTCCCTGCCTTCTCCCGGGAGCAGGTGGGTTTGTGTGCTCGGGGGCTGGGAAAGGAGGGGAGGGCTCACACTCAGCCCCACCCTGCCCTTCTGCCCTGCAGGAGCAGAAAGTGTATGTGCAGCACCGGCTCCGGGAGCGGGGGCCGCTCGTGTGGGAGCTGCTGGACCGCCAGGGTGCACACTTCTACCTGGCAGGGTGAGCAGTCTCAGCTGCAGCGGGAGCGGGCCCAACCCTAGGCCCAGCCTCACGCGCCTTCTGCTACCGCCCCTCTAGCAACGCCAAGTCCATGCCAGCGGATGTCTCGGAAGCCCTGGTGTCCATCTTCCAGGAGCAGGGCGGGCTCTGCAGCTCCGACGCCGCCGCCTATCTAGCCAGGCTTCAGCGGACACGGCGCTTTCAGACTGAGACGTGGGCCTGAGCCCCTTGGCTGCCGTGACCCTCCCGGGAGTCCGGGAGAGGGCTTCGTCCTCTCCGGCCAGGGGTGGCGCTTCCAGGTCCCAGCTCGTTGGGGCAACAGCCAGCTCCAGAGCACAGCCACACCCTCGTCAACCCTGGGCCCCACCCTTTGAGCCCTGACTCCACTGCAGCCTCTGCCAGCCAGCTCTCCGCTCCCCCACCCTGACCATGAGCTTGGTCCTCTTTCTCCCCCACCCTCTTCCCGGTCAAGGTGGTGGCCTGGGCCGCTCCACTTCACCAGTGCAGTGGCCCAGGACGGCGTGAGCAGCCCACTGGGCACCGGGAGCGGCACAGGGCCCCCATGAGGCCACACTGCACTCCTCCGCCCTGGGGCCACTGCAGCCTGCTGGGCAGCACATTCCAGTCACCACCCCCACACGGCTGAGGCTGGGCTCAGGCCACAAGAAAGCAGCTCCCTTAGAGCAGTGGGGTGGTCCCAGGCCAGAGCAGCCCCTTCCTCTCCTGGTCCCAGGAAAGCCCCGGCAGGAACTGCTGGCCTCCGGGTGGCTCCTCAGGACCCCTGGGTGGGCAGTGGCGGTGGACGCCATGGTGCGCTCTTGCTGGCCTGCCCGTACCCAAGTGGCAGCTCTTGTCTGCCTGTAATGTGACAAGCGCCCTGCCTGCTTCATTCTCAAAGGCTTGGTGGGTCGGCTGAGATCTGAGGGTCACGACAGGGTTTTGGGCAGGTGTTGGGAAGGCAGAGCTAAGCCGTCTATCCTGCCTGGGAGCCGAGGCTGCCGGAAGCAGTGGTGGGAGGGGGTGTGGTGGATACGGCCCCGCCCCTGGGAGGTGCTTGAGGCACCAGGAAAGGAAGTCCGGCTGGAGGAGTCCTGCCGTTCACACCGCCTCACCGTCCTCTCGTCGGAGTCTCTTATCTGTGGTCGGCTGGTCGCTGGCAGGGGACTAGACGTGGCCGAGGCTGGGCTGCAGCCTGATCTGGCTGGGGACGGCACTGCGTGGGCGCAGGACACACTCGACAGGCGAGCCTTGCCGGGGCCCCAGTGAAGTTCCCATCCAGTGAGGAGAGCCAGCCAGGTCAGTGCCAGACCCAGTGGAGCCCAGACCCTGCTTCCCCTGGAGGTCCCCACCTGTCTCCACCCTGGGGTCCCTGGCTTCCTATCGTGACTCCTCCCGCAGGGCCACCACCCCTGAGCTGTGGCCTGGGCTCCCTAGTCTCCACCTTGCCGACTCCAGCTCTGGGCCTGTCAGTCCACCTGGGGCCGCTCTGGGCCCTGAGTGCCTCAACCCACTAAGCCAAGCACCAGCGAGTGAAGGGGATGACTTTGGGCTTCCCCAAGATGCCGAGACTCCAACCGGTGAGCCCCTGCTGGGGGCTGTGGCCATGGAGGGCGCCTGGGCCCTTCCAGCCTGGAAGGAGGAGCTGGGAGAGCTGGCCGCAGGGCAGGGGGAAGAGGAGTGCCCCATCTGCACCGAGCCCTATGGGCCCAGGGAGCACCGCCTGGCCCTGCTGAACTGTCGCCACGGCCTGTGTGTGGGCTGCCTGTGCAGGCTGCGGGGCTCGGCCCCAAGCTCCGACCTGGGCTGGGTACGCTGCCCACTGTGCCGCCAGAAGACCCCCATGCTGGAGTGGGAGATCTGCCAGCTGCAGGAGGAGCTGCTGCTGGCCGACGGGCCCCCACACCAGCCCCCCCAAGAGGTCCCCGCACCCCAGCACCGCGACCCTGGACCCTGGGGCTCCCTGGAGCACCGCTACCAGCTGCGCTTTCTGGCGGGGCCCCTGGGTGGCCATGGCTGCCTGCCCTTTCTGCCCTGTCCACCCTGCCTGGGTGCCTGGCTCTGGACCCTGCGGGAGCGGGGACCCTGTGCCCGCCGCCTGGCTCTCCTGAGCCTGCTGGCCCTCGAGCTGCTGGGGCTCCTGCTGGTCTTCGTGCCGCTGGGGCTGCTGGGGCTGCTCTTCCTGCTCCTGGACCGCTCTGGCCGCTGAGCAGAGCCCAGGACAGCCCTGACGCCAGTGGGCCCAGACTGGCCCACATCGCCACTGGGTGCTGTGAGACCTGAAGACTAAGCTGAAAAACCCAAGGTTGGGTCCAGGGCACTGCCCTTCAATCAAGACCTCCATGGCTGAACCCAAGACTGGGGCCACCCAGGAGCCTGACCCCGCCAGAGTGCATGGCTGCTCTGGACGCCGGTGCCCAAGGACAGCTGCCAGAGGAGCCAGCCCAGCAGGAAGGTCTGCGAGCAGGGCCCCACGCGCCCAGTGGGAGACGCACCCTGCCGCCATGGCCAATGCTGACCACACTTTCCCTTCCGAGGGCCGGCCGAGCACAGCAGACATGAAGGTTAACAGCTGCAGTCAGTCCGTTCCTTGGAGAGAGCAGGGGTTCCACCCACTCTGTGTTCAGATAAGGGCCAGTGCATGTCCCTGAAGGTCAGGCCAGCCGGGGGAGGGGCCTGTGCTGTGAAAACTCCACCTGCAGAGGCTTCTCTCCCCACCTACTCAGGCTGAGACCAGCTGGGGGTCAGCACTGGCCTGTGTTGCAGGGACAAGGGTCCACCCCGGCCTTAGAACACAAGCACCAGGCCCAGCTCTGCCCCTGCACACCCTCACGTTGCCACGCCTGGGGCCTCCGTGGAAAGGGTGGAGACGTCGGGTCTGTGGGTGACCCTGAGAGATGGAGCACTGGGCTCGAGGCAAAGCAGCTTTCAATAAACTGGTTCCTGGGAACGCCATTGTCACTGCTTGTTTCTGTTACCCCATCCTAACTGTCCAGGTGGGCTTTTTTTTTTTTTTTTTTTTTTTGGAGGCAGAGTACCCCACTGTCCCTCACTGGAGTGCAGTGGCATGATCTCTGCTCACTGCAGCCTCTGCCTCCCGAGTCCAAGCAGTTCTGCCTCAGCCTCCCTAGTAGTTGGGGTTATAGACAGGTGTCGCCATGCCCACTGAACTTGTTTGTATTTTTAGTAGAGACAGCCTGCCCCATGTGGGGCAGGCTGATCTTGAACTCTTGACCTCAGGTGACCCGCCTGCCTCAGCCTCCCAAAGTGCTGGGATTACAGGCATGAGCCACCTCGCTCAGCCTGGGGCAGGCTCTTCCTCACACCCAGGTGGTCCAGGTGCCAGACAGGAGGCCCTGGGTCCTTATTCCCACCATCTCAGCCAGCATTTGTCCCACAGCCCTGCACAGACGCCCAAAGTCTACTCCGGCACAACACTGGAAGACCCAGGTGGGTGCTCAGGGCCAGGTAGGCACCAGAAGTGAAATCAACTGACTTGTCCCCCACACCATCGAAAATGTCCTCTCTGCTGCCAGGCGCGGTGGCTCAAGCCTGTAATCCCAGCACTTTGGGAGGCCGAGGCGGGTGGATCACGAGGTCAAGAGATCAAGACCATCCTGGTCAACGTGGTGAAACCCCGTCTCTACTAAAAATACAAAAAAGTAGCTGGGCATGGTGGCACGTGCCTGTAGGCCCAGCTACTCAGGAAGCTGAGGCAGGAGAATTGCCTGAACCCAGGAGGCAGAGGTTGCGGTGAGCCGAGATGGCACCATTGCACTCCAGCCTGGGTAACGAGCGAAACTCCGTCTCAAAAAAAAAAAAAAAGAGAAAAAAAGAAATTGTCCTCTCTGCCCAGCTGGGGTGGCTCTGCACACCGGCCACGTAGCCCTGCTAGGCACCCACAAGAAGCCCACTCCACATGTTTGGGGGTCTACACCCATGCTCACAGCCCACAGAGCCCTCCTGAGCTGCACGTACAGCCCAGCCTGGCCCAGAGTGCACACAGCAGGCCCATCCCAGCAGCGCTGGGCCCCTCTCTGGCAGCTCCAAGCTGAGCCCTGTCCGGGCGGCCGCCCTGGGTGCCACCCTAGGCCCAGGCCTGAGCGCAGCCCACAGGAGCAAGCTTCAGTCCAGGGAACAGGTGCAAACTTTGGCAAAGAGTTTTAATGGCAAAGTTGGCTGCAATGACAGTGCCACTTGGGGTGGGGCCGGAAGCCATGGTGGGGAAGGAAGGGTCAGCGGGCAGCAGGGCAGGCTGGGTCCCTGAAGAAGCGGCGATCGAGGTTCAGCGGGCAGTGGCGGGCAGGCAGGCGCTACTACATGATGGAGCAGGCAGACAGCGGGTTCCGCACATGGCAGGTGCAGGCGGCCCCACAGTACTGCCGGAAGGTCTGGTAGCAGCTGCCCTCGGGCTCGGCCCCCCACTGGCCTCCAGATGGGGCCGTCAGCGCCTCAGGCGGCAGGCGGCTCAGGATGGACGTGTTGACAGCCAGCGCGGCCAGGCCGTAGTCGGTGAAGAGCACAGTCTCTCGGCGGCAGGTTGGGCAGGAGATGAACTTGTACTTGGGGCAAGACTCGTAGAGAATCTGCAGGCACTGCTCACACACGGAGTGCAGGCAGGACAGCACGCGGGGCCGCCGCTGGGTGACATTGTACGTGTGCCCGCAGGTGGGGCACTCCAGGGGCTCACCCACTGCTGCCGAAGAAGCTGCCGAGGCCGAGGGGCCAGGCCGAATCACGTACTGATTGACAATGACCTCGTCCTCGGGGGCCACACGGGGAAAGCCCAGCTCCGCGCTCCCCTTACGTGGCCGCCGTGGCAGCGGCGGGGTGTGGGGCGCCCCTTCCAAGGCAGGCATGTCCCCCCCACACGCCTGGTTGACAATGATCTCTGTGTCTGAGGGCCAGGCACGCTTGGGTGCCAGAGTGGGGGTGGGCCGGGGAGCAGGCGGGAAGCAGGGGGCAGCCGGCAGCTCAGGGAACTTTTCGGGATGCACGATCTTCATGGCCTCCATCTTGAGGATGACATGGGGACCCTTCAGGCAGGACATGAGGAGGCCCGGCCAGCCACTGCCCGCCTCGGGCCCAGGGTCAGAGGACATCCGGCTGTCTCCAGTCAGACTGGGTGTTCGGGTGGGTGGCGGTGTGGTGTGGGGCTGGGGGGGAGGTGACGGGGCAGCATCCTGGTCCCACCAGGCCTGGGGGGGACCCCGGCTGGCCCGTGGACTCCTAGGGGCAGCCGGCGAGAGTTGGGGGCGCAGGGGCCCCCCCACTGGCCACAGTGGCTTCCCTGGTCCAGTCCTGGGAGGAGGAGGAAGGGGTGGGGGAGGGGGAGGCAGGCGGGGGCAGGGGGGCGTGGGAGGCTGCCCTGGGCTGGGCGTCGGGCTCAGCGTCTCACCCAGGGTCTCTGGGTGCTGAGGCTGGCGAGGGGGCGTGGGGGGGGCTCCCCCGGCAGCCGAGGTCAGCAGGCCGCCGGCGGGGACATCGGGGCAGGCAGGGGCTGGGTGGGCCCCATGGCTCCAGGACAGGGCGCCCAGGGAAGGCAGCTAGCCGAAGCGTTGGCTGCAGGAGGACCCGGGCGGCAGGCTCCGCGGCAGGAGCAGAGGCAAGGCCTGGGCCCGGCCTGAGCTGCAGGTGAGAGACGCCGTGAGGATAGTGCCCAGGCCACCCCTACCCTCGCCCTCCGCCCGCACAAAGGCTCGAGCGCCCGACCTCTGACCCTGACCTCAGCCGCGGGATCCCTACCTCCGTGGGCCTCGGAACCCAGCCCCCTCCCCGGTCCCCGCCTCCAAGGCCGGACGCACCTCCCCGAGGGCCGACCCCCGCCGCGTGGGGAGGGCCGCTGAGTCCGCCCCCGGCCCGGGCCCCCGCCCCCTGCGCTCACCTGCCCCAGCCTGGCGTTCCGGCCGCGCGCCGCCGCCGCCGCCGCAGAGGTTGTCTCAAAGGCAGGCCCGGACGCGGCGCCCGCGCCTCGGCCCGGCAGCTCGGGGGGCTCCGGCGGCTCCGGCGGCTCCGGCGAAGCTGCGGCGACCTCGGGCGATGGCGGGGCCCGGGCGGCACCCAGGGGCGCGGGCGCGGGGCGCGGGGCGCGGGGCGCGGGGCTCGGCGCGGCGGCGGCGGCAGGTGCGTGCGAAGCGTGGCGCGCTCTGCGGCGGAGGCGCGGGGACCGCAGTGCGCGCGGCGCCCGCCCGCGCCCGCAGCGCCACCCCCCGTCTGGGGACCCGCGCGGGGTCCGCGGGGCGGGGCCAGCCTCCCGGCCGCCCCTCAGTCCGTTCCTGGCGTCGTCCTCGCCCGCAGGCTGCTTAGGGAGCAGGACCCCCGCGTCGCCCCCAGTTCTCCGCTCCCCTCCTGCCCAGGCTGACCCTGGGTCCTGGTCAAGCCTCCCCAAATTCTGGGGGAATCGGCCGTTCTCCTCCTCACACTAGGAGGCCTCCGGACGCCGGAGCGGGAGGGAGGGCACCCGCGCGGAGGGTCGCAGGGGAGCTGGTTCCAGGGCCCACCGGCGCCCCCCGCCCCCAGGAAAGGCCCCGAGGCCTCCAGCCCCGCCCGTGCCCGGTGCCGCAGCTCGGAGAGGGCGCTGGGACCCTAAGGGGCACGAGCGGGGCAGGAGAAGGCCGAGGCAGTGGACGGCCGGGCCGGGTGGGAGTGCGCGAAAGACAGGCTGGCAGCCCCGCGCGGGGCGGAGGCGGCCCTGAGGACCGCACCTGCCCGGGGAAGCGTGGCCCGGGCACTCAGCGGGCAGCCTCGCCCACCACCAGCGCGCAGGCCGGACCTCTCAGCTCCCTCAGCCCGGCTGCTCTGCCCGCCTGGGTCCGCCTTCTGCCTGCAGAGCCCTCGGGCGAGGGAAGGACTCAGGGCTTGCGGGTCACCGCCAGGCAGGGAACCAGGCCTTCGAGGGCCTCTGCGGCTTGCTGTGACCCGCTCCGGACCCCGCACCAGGCCCTGCACAGCCTGGCCTCCTTCAGCCCCTCTCTCCGCTGGACAGGCCGGACCGCACCCGCTCTAGGCAGAGCCACAGGACCTGCGGAGCGCCGAGCCCGAGGGCACGCTGCCCCTTGTGCGGGAGCCCGCGTGGGCACACCAGGCTGGAGCAGCGGCCCTGCCCTTAGGGTCTGGCTTGGCCCCTCCGTTGGGCCTCGGGCCAGTGTCACTCAGAGAGCAGTAGGGAGAGGTGTGCGGCTCACGGGGGCTGCTCGCGGGGCCTTACGGGGCCTGTCACGATGGTGGGGCACCTGAGGCAGCCTGGGCCCGGGGAGGGCTGGGGGTCCAGCTCCGCCGCAGGCCTCGCTCACCTGCCGACCCGGCGCGCGCCCGAGGACGCACCAGGCCGCGGGCCCCGCCCCCTCCGCGAGGCCCCGCCCCATAAGGGAGGAGGCCCCGCCCCCGCCACGAGGCCCCGCCCCCAGAGCCGGGCCTTTTCAGCCCCACCGTTCAGAGCTGGGGAGGTCCAAGCCGAGTATCGGTGACATCCGAACCGGGTCTTTCGAGAAACCCTAGAGCGCGAAGGCTTCTGGGGAATAAAATTTCCACGGCCGTTCTCCGCCTAGTTGGCGCATGCGCCGTAGGCGCACGCAGGGCGGTAGGCGGGGCTTCCGGCGCCTGCGCAGTGGACGTCTGTCGCCGGCCTTCGGGGTGTTGGGTGCCCCGCAGCGCCTGGTTCTACCCAGATCGGGGCCGGGACCGGTCGGACGGGCCGCACGCAGACCACCCCGCTCGCCCTGGCCTCCGGGCCACGTGACTGCACCCCGCCCTTCCTGGTGCTCCTCTGGGCGCCAAGACCCCCGCCGCCCTGGGCCGCCCCGCGGTTCCCACCGCCCCCCGGCGCCCACCGTCCCCCGGCTCCCACCGCCCCCCGGCGCCCACCGTCCCCCGGCTCCCACCGCCCCGCGGCTCCCACCGTCCCCCGGCGCCCACCGTCCCCCGGCGTCCACCGCCCCGCGGCGCCCCTGCCTGTGCCGGTGCAGACGGAGCCGCAGCCGGGCTGGAGGCGGGGGCCCAGGGTGGGGACGCTAGGGGGCCCCGTGTGGACCCCACGCCCGCCAGCCAGAGGGTAACTGCAGTTCGAGGAACGAGTTTAAAATGTGAGCAGCGACAAAAAGAGTGTGTTCTGCCTGGTGCTGGGCATCTCCTAAGAACTTAAAGCTTTCCTGCATCACCCTGTGTGATCAACTGTCACCTTACTGGCGGAAGAATGCTTGGAACTTGGGGTCACTTCAGGTAGATAGCTTCTACTTCCTATATTTGTCTTACACAAGTATCTGGTTTTATCAAAATAATTCTAATAAAATATTTTAAAGTAAATAAATAAATAATAAAATGTGAGCAGCGTCTAAAGCCCGTGTCATTGATCGTTAAGACCCGTGACCAAACGTGCAAATCAAACATGTTTTCTCAGTGAAAAAGGAAAACCGCCCGGCGCAGTGCCTCGCGCCTGGAATCCAGCACTTTGGGAGGTGCAGCTGGGCAGGTCACCCTGGGAGTCTGAGATCAGCCAGGCCGCGGTGAGACCCACCTCTCCACAGAGGATGCGCCTGCGGCCCGCGCAGCCACTCGGGAGGCCGAGGCGGGAGGATCTCCAGAGCCCAGGAGGTTGAGGTTGCAGGGAGCCCAGATGATGCCACTGCTCCAGCCGGGACGGCAGAGTGAGACCCTTTCTTAAACGAAGAACCGCCAGGCGCGGCGCCTCATGCCTGTAATCCCAGCACATTGGGAGGCCGAGGCGGGCGGATCACCTGAGGCCAGAGGTTTGAGACCAGCCCGGCCAATACGGTGAAACCCCGTCTCTACTAAAAATACAAAAATTAGCCGGGGGTGGTGATGGGCTCCTGTAATCCCAGCTGCTCCGGAGGCTGAAGTGAGAAATCGCCCGAACCCAGGAGGCAGAGGTTGCAATGAGCCGAGATAGCCCCATTGCACTCCAGCCGGGGCAACAAAGAACAAAACTCCGTCTCAAAAAAAAAAAAAAAAAAAAAAAAAGGCAGAAAGCCCCAAGAGCCTATCCTGTCAAACACCTTGGTCTCCGCTGAGCAGAGGCTCAGAGGCCCTGCCTCAGCCAGGGTTTTGAGGTGCGTGAGCAACAGCTGGGGACTGCAGCCCGAGAATTCGAGGGCTTCGCCCCACTTCCTTTCCGGAGCCGTGACCTCAGGCTTGCCTCCTGCCCTCATCTCTGGCAAGCTGCAGATGCCCTTTAGGGCCAGGCCGTGCCCTGGATGTGAGGGGACTGAGTCACTGGGCTTGGCAGTGCCCCTCGGAGCCCAGGTCTAGGCTGCCACCCACCTGAGGATGAGGGGTGGGCCAGCTGCCGTGCTCCAGTTGCTGGGGCCTCTTGGGAACCCCATCTCTGAGCCCCGCCCATGGCCCCGCCCCTCCCAAGGAGGGAAAAGGCGCTCCCAGCCGCTCAACTCAGGCACTGGGACCTAGAGCACAGAGGACCGAGAGGACAGGCTGCCGCCCTGCCACCATAGGTGAGCCCTCAGCCCTGGGACTGCCCTGAATTCAGGGGCACTGCAGGGTCAGCCCCTTCTCTCCAGTCTCTCAGCCTCTTTCATCCCATTCCCAGCTCCATCCCAGGGGCAATGCCACCAGAGGAGGGCAGGATCCCTGGCAGGGGAGGCAGCGGGGAGGCACCAGCCCTCGCTCTTGCTTGGCTCCTGCCCATGACAGCAGCCTTGCCCACACATGCAGGTCACTTTGAGGTCACTGCACCCCTGGGCACATTTGCCTTGGACACGGCACGCTGCTCCTGGGTGGGGGCTTTCTTGGGCCACAGGCTTGTGGGCAGCCATCCCACTTCACTGAGTCGGTATCTGTCTTCTCTGCCCACCCCTGCAGGTAGGCTATGGACCCCCATGAGATGGTCGTCAAGAACCCCTATGCCCACATCAGCATCCCCCGGGCTCACCTGCGGCCCGACCTGGGGCAGCAGTTAGAGGAGGCTCCCGCCTGTTCCCCATCCTCGGAGATGCAGCCACTGCCAGTGGGGCCCTGTGCCCCGGAGCCAACCCGCCTCTTGCAGCCGACCGAGGTCCCAGGGCCCAAGGGCGCCAAGGGTACCCAGGGGGCTGCGCCCATCCAGGACCAGCAGGCCTGGCAACAGCCTGGCAACCCATACGGCAGCAGTCGGCGCCCGGCCGGACTGACCTATGCCGGCCGTCCGCCCGTGGGGCGCGGTGACGACATAGCCCACCACTGCTGCTGCTGCCCCTGCTGCCGCTGCTGCCACTGTCCCCCCTTCTGCCGCTGCCACAGCTGCTGCTGCTGCGTCGTCTCCTAGCCCCGCCCACCCCGCCAGGGCCAGGACCCAGGCAGTGCCTGAACATTCGGGGTGGCTACTGTCACGGGCACCGGCCCCTTCCCACCAGGGACTGGGCATGGTCCCACCAGGAAGGTGACCGCTCAGCCCAAGCTCCTGAAACGGAATCCCAGGCCCTGGCTGGAGAGGGACGCTCCTGATTACCTTAAGGCCCAGGCAATAAAGCAAGGTGGTCTCCCAGCAACTCTTCTTTGCCACGGCTCCTTTGGGAGGGCCTTGTAGCTGGACACAGAGCACCCTTCCCCTCGTGTGGGCTCGAGGACACACACGTGCACACACACAGCATCAGCCCCATGCGCACTCGAGGACACACACAGTCACTGTAGACGTTGCAGGGACAGGGCTGCCGCTGCCTCCCGACACTCACTCTCCGGCCTGCCCAGAGGTGCCCCAGGGACTTGCAGTGTGTCCACAGCCCTGGCCGAGCAGGGTCTGGATGTGAGCTCCCTGGGGTTAGTCCGTGGGTCGGCCAGGAGGAGGATGGAACTGGGGGGACCCCAGGAAAGGCCTCCAAGAGGAGAAGCGTGCTGGCAGGAGGGTGGTGGGTGCGGCAGGTGCTGCAGGTTTCAGGGAGTGGAAGCTCAGGACAGGAGGGCCCAGACAGCCTGAATCACGCCCTGCCCACGGGTGATTCACCTCCCCGCCTCTGCTGGGATGTTTTTATAGTTTCCCAGGAAATGTCGAATTCCTGCACGTCCTGCCCCGAGGCCTGGGCTTCCGGGAGGAGGTGGTCTGGACCACGCCTTGGGGACGAAGCAGGGAACAGGGAGGGAAGGAGGCTGGGGCCATGGGTGCTGGGGCCGTCTCCTGGTCTGTCTGAGCTGGGCGAGGGTCTCTCTGGGGCTGAGCTGGAGGCGCTAGGCTGCTCTGCACAGGCACTGCCTCACCGCTGCGGGCCAGGATGTCGGGAAGGGAGCGACTGCTGAGGCCAGCATGGGGCACCCTGGTGTTCCAGGCAGGCAGAGGAAAGGCCAGGAGGTGGCAGCTGAGCTGGCCATGCAGGACAGACGGGTCCTCACACCAGGCCAGCCCTTCCCTGACACAGGGTGACGAGCCCCACAGCAGAGCAGGGCAGGGCAGCTGTCTGGCATGCAGAGGTCTCCAGGCGTGGGACGGATGGGTCACTGCCCTGACCCTGTGCAGGCACTTGGCGTGCCAGGCTCCTCGCCTTGCTCCATCGCCGGCCCCCACCAGAGAGTGACCGCACCCAGGCCAGCCACGGGAACCTGTCTGACCAGTCCTAGGGGCAGACTGCCAAGAGGGTGGGCAGGGGTGAGGAGGGGCCGTTTGCTTCCACCCAGCAGGGCTGTGAGTGGTCCTGGGATCCTGCCTACCCATCCCAACCCCTCTCGGTCCCCCGACTGTGCTCTGCCTGCGGTCTGGTGTGGACAGGCTGACAGCACCTCTGGAACCCAGGCCTCCCGGGTGGCCTGGGGGCTGCAGATAAGCAGAGCAGCGGGGAGATGCCCGCTGAGGCGGCGGCGTCTGGCGCTGTCTGGGGACCCCAGCTGGGAGTGGGGATCCCCATACACGGAGCTGGAGCGCCACCTGGAGGCCTTGAGGGCAGACGCAGCCCCCTGCCGTCGGGCGGGCACCAAGGTGAGGCTGAGAAGCCACACAGATCCACACAGAAGCACAGTGGCAAAGTCTGCAGAGGACTCTGTGCCCGAGGGAAACCCGGGTGGGCTTCCTAGAGGAGGAGATGTGATCGGAGATCGAGGCAGGAAAACAATCCAGTATGGAGAGGAGGTTAAGGCAGGGGGATTGCAAGGGTGGGGGGTGGGAGAGGAGGTGGAGCAGAGTGTGCGTGTGGGGAAACGAACTGGATGGGAGGGGTGGGCGGGGCTGCAGGGCCCCTTATCTCCTGCAAGTGGGTGGTGCCATCAGATCTAGTTTCAAGGCTTTTGTGTCTGAAATGGGAGCCCGCGCCCGCCCAGCCGGCCACCTGCCTCTTTCCTGAGTCCTGTGTAAGGCCAGTAATGCAAGCCAGGAGGGAGCTGCAGGGTGCCCTGGGTCCCCACCCGCTTCTCCGGCCACCCCCTGGCTGTGCATAGCAGCCCAGCAGAGCCCACGCAGGTAAGAGACCTGGGGTCCGGTGGGCCGTGAGGGTGGGGGCCAGGGCTGGGCCAGGGCGTCCTGTGAGAACAGGAGGCTGCCCGGCTGGTGCCCACATAAAGCAGAGGTGCCCGGACCCTGGTGTCTTCCTGCACCCTCCCTCCCAGGTCTGCTCGCACCAGCCCCACAGACCCAGGGCCTGACCTCTGGGGCAGGTTCCTGGGGCCGGCACCCCACCGACGGGGACGGTGCCCGAGGCAGACTGTCCACCGTGGGCGGGCTTCCCTCTCTCAGGATGCTGCAGCCGGAGGGCCCCCAGGCCTCGGGGGAGGGCGGCCACTGGAGGAGCGACTGCATCGTCTGCTGCTCGGCTTACGATCTCTCCGGGCACCTGCCCCACCGCCTCCACTGCGGGCACACTTTCTGCCAGGCGTGTGTGCGGCGGCTGGACGTGCTGGCGCCCGAGCAGCGCTGGATCCCCTGCCCGCAGTGCCGCCAGAGCACGCCCACGCCTCGGGGAGGGGTGGCCATGCTGGACCTGGACCTGGCTGCTTTCCTGGCAGTCAAGGCTGAGCGGGAGCTGGCAGGAGTGGAGCCCCAGCCCCTCACCTCCCTCAAAGGCGGCACCATCACTCAGCAGCCGGCGGGGCTGTGCCCTGCCCTGGGCCCCCAGCCCCACTTCCCTCGGCCCAGACACTGCTGCTGGGGCTGTGGCCGCCTCTGCTGCCCACCCCCAGGCAGCCCCGAGGTCTGACTCCGGCCATTCCCACCCCTGCAAGGGAAATGCCTGCCTTGGAACCCCTGGCCACGCACAGCCCACCTGGAACCACCGGGCAGCAGCGTTCTGTACACAGCTCCGCGTGGCCCAGTGGGGTGCTGCGATCCCAGGCCACAGCCTAAGGTTGGGGATTGGGAGCCTTTACAGGAGGCTAGTGACCTCCCACCTGTCCTGGCCAGAATTACCAGACCCCGGACTAGCCCAATCAGATGTGCCTGCTGAGGCTGCTGCTGTCTGAGTGGACAGCAAGCCTGGCTCGGGCCTAGACCTGGCACAAAGGACGGCTCCCGGGATGCAAAGGCCAGTCCCGGGCCTGGGCTGCAGGCTGGAGGGCAGGGCCGGGCAGGGCTGTGCCCAGTGGGATGCCAGAGCAGGTCCCCTCTCCCACAAATGTCCCAGGATGTCCCAGGAGGGCAGCAAGGCCACCTCCTTCCTCTCTGCCCTGCATGGAAGCCCTGTGAATTCACCCACTCTGCAAAACTCACGGAGTTCCCGCTGTGCCGGGACGGCTCCTGCAGAGTCCTGTGCAGGCCCAAGGAGGACGCCCCGGCAGGGCCTGCCTGAGGCCCAGAGAAGGTCGGGCCTGCCCAAGGCCTCACAGCCCAGTTGGCCTCATCCTCGGCTGAACCTTTCCAGGCTCCCAACAGCCACCACACAGACCCTTCAGAGGGGCCTGGGCCAGGGCCGGGCCGGGGCTGGAGGCTGTGGATGGCAGTGACTGTTGCGACACCCCACCCTGCCCCCATAGAAGGCATTGTTACTCAGGAGCCCAGGGACAGACTGCTGCCCCCCCACCACCACCCCCAGAGCAGGGTCACAGGATGGGATGGAAGAGAATTTGCTGAGTGGACACTCAGAAGCGTCCACCTTCTCTGGAGCAAAGTCCCATGCATGCAGCGGGGGCTGGGCGGCCAGCAGAGGAGGCACAAGCAGCCCCTGGGAAAGGCGAGCCTTGCGGGGAGCTGCCCAATACCCCAGGCCAAGAAGGGGCCCAGTCCTCCTAGGGGACACCACACAGGCGGTGGGGCCATCTGGGACTCTGCTGGGGACAGCAGTGTGGCAGGCAAGGCAGGGGTGTCGAAGGTGGCCTGGGGGGCCAGGCCCTTCTCTCTCTGCAGATGGAGGCTGCTCACCTCCATCGATGCTGAGCCCCAGCCCTGTCCTGAACCTGGATCTGAACCCTCTGACCTCAGGCTGGGTGCCCTCCCTGGCTACACGAACAAGCCTGTCCTCCCTACCAGCAGGTGCAAAGGGCTTCCCTCCCCACTCCGTCAGGGGCAGGGATGACCCTGAGAAGGTCTGAGGAGCCCTGAGGTGCATGGAGGTGGGGACTGGAGTCTCCAGCACCCAGGAAGGCCGACCATGCTCTTGCATCCTGCCCGGCTGGGTCACACGGATGCCCGCCAGGGACGTCCAGTACTGAAGGCTGGTGCCCTGCGGCGCCCTGAGCCTGATTCAGAGTGCACCTGGGAGAAACCCTGCTCCAGGAGGGTTGGGCTGGGGCTTGGAGCTCCTGGCCACAGCATGACAGGACATGGACAAGGCCCTGGGGCCTTGGGGCCAGGAGGGTACCCCGTGGGGACCTGGGCTCCTGGGTAAACATTAATGGGCTCTGCGCCGGGAGGTCATGTGCACCATCTGGGGATCTTTGACCTGCACCCGCTCCTCCTGCAGGTGGCACCTCACCACCCACACAGGTAGGAGCTCCCAGGACCAGGCTGGGGCCCAGGGACAGTGAGGCTGAGGCTGGGTGGCCTCCAAGCCTAGGGCTTGGGCCCCATCCTGAGCCTCCAGGACCTAAGGGCAGGAGACAGCAGGCCCGGCAGCAGGAGGGAGGGTGAGGCAGAGTACACCTGGACCTGAGCCCAGGGCCCCGGGTGGAAGGTCGTGGTGGACAGCACGAGGCCGTGGGGTGAGCAGGCCCAGGAGGCTGAGAGAGCAGCTGCTTTGGGGCCAGGAGCCTTGAGGTGGTGTGAAGACACCTGGTCCCCACCTGCTCCCTATCACCAGGGCATGGGTTCCTTATCAAGCTGAGACGTCACTGTTTGCTATCAAATGCCAAAGTCTAAGTCGGGACCATCCGCAGTGTCCCTGATGACACCTGATAGGAGAGGCCCCCAGGTCCCCGGCTCACGGTCGCTTCCGGCCTGAGCCCAGCACCCTGCACCCTCGGCACCCGCCAGGCCTTCCAGTCAGGACCAGCGAGGGAGCCGGGGAGCCAGGGCCCCTCAGTCGGCCCCGGAACCGGACTGGGCTCGCCTGACAACTGCCTGAGGTCACTGTCACCATCCATCCCCCTGGGGATGGAGAAGGGGGTGGGGAGGGAGGGTGGCGGCCAAGGCCTCAGTTCGGGGAACTCAGGGGCGCGAATCCAGCCTGTGAGGCCGGGGCCAGGGCAGGAGGAGGCGAGACTGACGCCTGGGTCTCCCCAGCAGATCTGGGCCGGGGCCTGGGTCTGTCCCTGCCCGAAATCCATGCCGAGCTCCCTCCCGGGCAGCCAGGTCCCCCACCCCACTCTGGATGCAGTGGACCTAGTGGACCGGACGCTGAGGAATGCAGGTACCAGCAGGCCCAATGCCCCAGGCCTTGACCGGTCTGACCACCTGCGCCCCCGGGCACTGGGCAGAGACAGACCTCCCGGGAGCCCACACGGCTCTGACTGCTCCGCTCAGTTCCAACCAGCTGCAGCCCTGTCTTCCCTGTTGCGTTTCTGTCCCTCACTCCAGGCCTCTCATGCCTCCGCCCCTCCTGGCCTGTGCCCTGGTGCCCCCACCTCGGGGGCGGTCCTGGAAATGGTCATACTCAATTCCACCCCCACAGGAACCTCTAGTTCTGCTCCAGTCTTGCAGGAGGGCGACACAGACCCCTGGGCCCTCCCTCAGCTGAAGGACACCAGCCAGTCCTGGAAAGGTGGGTCTGGGGGTGCCAGGCTGGCAGGCCTCTGTCCCCCGGGGGGCTGGGGAGAGAGAGCAGGTGGGGCCTGCCCAAAAGGTTGTGCATGGAGATCCTGCCATACAGGCCTCTGTGGGGAGGCGCGTGTCCCTCAGCCCAGCAAGTGTCCTGTCCTGGGGTGGATGAGCCACCCTCCCCATGCGTCCCTCCCCTCCTGCAGGCGGCTATGCTTCGAGAGAGAGGGTCCCAGGGGCTTCCGGCTTGGACAGGCAGGGGGAGTAGACAGAGGGGACCCAGGCCCTGCCCTGGGGGTGACAGAGGAGGAAATGGGACCCCGTCCTGTTGGGACAGAGGAGACAGAAACGGCCCCCGGGGGCTGAGGATGAGGGGCCCTGGGAGGGGCAGTCAGGGTGGAGGCCCGCCAAGGACAGCCTGCCCTGTGTCCTCAGAGCTCCGCACGGCTGGCAGGCTGCGTCTCGTGGCCGGCAACCTCCTCAAGGCCTGTGGGCTCCTCGGATGCCTGTACCTGTTCATCTGCTCCCTGGACGTCCTCAGCTCCGCCTTCCAGCTGCTGGGCAGTGAGTGACGGGCAGGCATCCAGGGCGGGGCGGGCAGCCAGCGCTCCGCAGCCTCAGTGCGGCTCTCTCGCCGGTGCAGGCAGACTGGCCGGAGACATCTTCAGGGACAATGTGGTGCTGTCCAACCCCGTGGCGGGACTGGTCATTGGTGTGCTGGTCACGGCCCTGGTGCAGAGCTCAAGCACATCCTCCTCCATCGTGGTCAGCATGGTGGCCGCTAAGCGTGCGTGCACCTCCTTCCCCGGGTGGGGGCGGGGCGGGGTGGGCCACAGGCTGACTCAGCACCCCACCGGCAGTGCTGACCGTGCGGGCGTCCGTGCCCATCATCATGGGTGTCAACGTAGGCACATCCATCACCAGCACCCTGGTCTCGATGGCGCAGTCAGGGGACCGGGATGAATTTCAGAGGTGAGCTGCGGGTGGAAGGGCCGGGCGGGGCTGCACCCCGGCCACGCCCCCTCCACCCCCGACCACCAACTCTGCGGCCACAGGGCCTTCAGCGGCTCGGCGGTGCACAGCCTCTTCAACTGGCTCACGACGTTGGTCATGCTGCCGCTGGAGAGCGCCACGGCCCTACTGGAGAGGGTCAGCGAGCTGGCCCTGGGTGCCGCCAGCCTGGAGCCCGGGGCACAGGCGCCCGACATCCTCAAGGTGCTGACCAAGCCGCTCACACACCTCATCGTGCAGGTGAGGAGAGCCGGGGCAGGCTGGATGGGAGGCGGAGGGCGGGCCCGCCCCGATGCAGGGTCAGCATTGAGGGCAGCAGCGGGCAGGGCCAGGCTGGACCCTGTGGGCGTCGGCGCCCCAGCTGAGCCCTGAGGGAGGGTCTCATACACTGTCACGATCCCTCCGGCCCCCAGCTGGACTCTGACGTGATCGTGGGCAGCACCACGGACAACGCCACCACCAGCAGCCTCATTAAGCAGTGGTGCAGCTCCAGCGGGCAGCTGGTGAGGCGCCACCCAGCCCCTCCCTGACCCCGGCCCCCACTTGCTGAGCCCCACCCCCCTCACCTTGAGCCCTCTGACCTCTGTCTGCCAACGGAGCCCGTCCTGAGTCCTCCCTGCCCTCGCCAGGCCACGGGGAACAGCAGCGACTGTGGAGACTCCGGCCCCTGCGAGGACAGGAACAGCACAGCCCCGGCGGACAGGCTGCCCTGTGAGGCCCGGCCCACCCCACGCCCCCCAAGCCCCCACGCTGCCCCTCACCCACCCTTGTAGAGAGAAACGGCACAGCCCCGTGGACGGGCTGCCCTGTGAGGCCACCTGCGCCGGCCAGCCCCTCAGGCTCCCCTTACCTGCCCCTGCCTCCAGGCCACCACCTGTTTGCGGGCACGGAGCTCACAGACCTGGCCGTGGGCTTCATCCTGCTGGCCAGCTCCCTGCTGGTGCTCTGTAGCTGCCTGGTCCTCATCGTCAAGCTGCTCAACTCTGTGCTGCGTGGCCGTGTGGCCCAGGCCGTGAAGACCGTCATCAACGCGGGTGAGGGCTGGGGAGGAGGTGCGATGGCCAGGGCTGACCCGGCACCCCCCAAGACTTCCCCTTCCCTCTGGGCTGGCTCGGCGGCTACCTGGGCCTCCTCTGCGGTGGCCAGGGCTGACCCGGCACCCCCCGCAGACTTCCCCTTCCCTCTGGGCTGGCTCAGCGGCTACCTGGCCCTCCTTGTGGGCGCCGGCCTGACCTTTGCACTGCAGAGCAGCAGCGTCCTCACGGCAGCCATCGTGCCCCTCATGGGTGAGCAGGCGGGCAGGGGCCTCCGGAGCAGGGGCTCAGGCTGGGGCCCTGTGGTGACCCCCAGTTCCCCCAGGAGTCGGGGTGATCAGCCTGGACCGGGCGTACCCTCTCTTACTGGGCTCCAACATCGGTACCACCACCACAGCCCTGCTGGCCGCCCTGGCCAGCCCCGCAGAAAGGATACTCAGCGCCCTGCAGGTACCGCCCGCCCGCCCGCTGCCAGAGCCTGCCAAACTCCCTCTCAGCCCCATGGACAGGCGTGTCCCCAGCCCCATGCCCCTAGATGGGCTCGTGCCTCTGCCCTCCTTCCGGACCCCTTCCCTGGTGGGGCCCCCGCCCTCCCAGACCCCCAGGCTGGCCGCGCCCCCGCCCTCCCTGACCCCCAGGCTGGCAGTGCCCCTGCCCTCCTGGACCTGGTGCCTGGCCGCCAGCCTCAGCCCTACTGCTCAGCCTCCCTGGACCCCAGGGCCCTGTGCACAACTCTTGCCCACTCTGCGTCTCACTTGAGACTTCCTCATTTCCACATTTTCTCAGCTCTTTGCTGTGCCCCTGGAGGCCTGCCCCGAGGCCTCAGGGGACTCCAAGCCCCTCTATTCCAGCAGCCTCAGATGCTTCTCCCCCAACCCCTGCTCCCTCGGGGAGCAGCCACTCACCCCCTGCAGGTCCCCATCTGGACGACCCTCCCACCCCCCATCCCACATCTGCAAAGGCAGAGTCGCACCCCTGCTGGGCCCTGCCTCCAGGACACCTCCCCAGTCTGAACCCCCAGCTCCGTGCCCCACCCCCAGGCTCACTCAGTCCAGCTAGTTCTCCCGCTAAAACACACTGCTGCCCAGAGGCCCAACAGGCTCAGCTCCTGCAGTCCCGGGCCACGCTGTGTCTCGGACAGGAAGAGACCAGCACAGCAGCCCCAGATCCCACCCAAGACCTTGGCTCTTCCCTGTCTCCGTCCACTCAAACCCTCCCAGTGCAGGGTCCTGCTCCAGCCCCTCCAGACTGCACCCGCGTGTGCATCCTTGCAGTATGGCAGCCTCTGGAGGGCTGTGTGTTCTCCCTTCTGTGGCCCTGCGCCTCCTCCCCCCAGGGCCTGAGAGGCTGAGGAGAAGGGGTTTCCTGGCACGAGGCATAGGCAGAGCCAAGTCAGAGGGTGCCTCCCCCACGGGGTCCCCCTTAGGGCAGCAGTGACGTGGTTGGCGCCCGGGGTGCGGGGCTGGGCTGCAGCTCCCAGGCGTGCGGGGAGGTATCCGGGAGGAGCGTGTTCACCTCTGGTCACAGTCTGCCCCCAAGACGGCCATCTCAGCCATGGAGCAGAATGAACTTCGGACTTGGGGTCCCTTCGGCAGGGTGGAGGAGGGCAGGGGTCCTGAGCCCTTGGTGACCCCACCTCATCGGGCCCAGGCCCCTGATGGCCCCCTCGCCCCCAGGTCGCCCTCATCCACTTCTTTTTCAACCTGGCCGGCATCCTGCTGTGGTATCTGGTGCCCGCGCTGAGGCTGCCCATCCCGCTGGCCAGGCGCTTTGGGGCAGTGACCGCCCGTTACCGCTGGGTGGCTGGGGCCTACCTGCTGCTCGGCTTCCTGCTGCTGCCCCTGGCAGTCTTTGGGCTCTCCCTGGCAGGGGGCATGGTGCTGGCTGCCGTCGGGGGTCCCCTGGTGGGGCTGGTGCTCCTTGTCGTCCTGATCAACACCCTGCAGCAGCGCCGGCCGGCCTGGCTGCCGGCCCGCCTGCGCTCCTGGGCCTGGCTCCCCCTCTGGCTCCACTCTCTGGAGCCCTGGGACCGCCTGGTGACCCGCTGCTGCCCCTGCAAGGCCTGCAGCCCCCCGCAAGCCACCATCAAAGAGGCCCACTGCTACGAGAACCCTGAGATCTTGGCCTCCCAGCAGCTGTGAGGGTGGGCACCGTGTGGACCACCCCGCCCTCCCTGGCTGGGAGGGCTCTGGAGGGTCCTGGGGGAGGGGTCCCCTGCTCCCCTTCTGTGCAAATAAACCAGGCTGTTACCCCAGGTGACTGTCTTCACTCCCCTAAGCAGGAGCCACCTGGGCAGGGGCGGGGGGTGTGGCCCGATGCTGCCCCCTGGTGGACACTCTGAGGCCCGGGGCTCAGGTGCAGGTGCCACCTACCTCCACTGGGTGTTTCTCACCGCAGCTGCTGGGGACAGAAGCTGCAAGGAATGGCGGGCCTAGGGGGCGGGGACTTCCCACAGTGGGAGCTAGGGTCCCTCCCGCAGGCACGGGGGAGAGCCCAGCCTTCAGGGAGCAGGGCAGGGGGTTTGAGGCTGGGAGGGCCTGGACCCCCTCTGCCACTGGCCGATGTCACCATTGGCGTGGGGCCTAGAGTCCCACCAGGTACGTGGGGTGTGAGGAGGGGACCCCAATGGCTCGGAGAGCCGGGTGCTCCCCAAGGCACCCCCAGCCCATCTGCCCTCTGTGTCTCTCGACTGGTCCTGGGCTGGGCCACGGCAGGTCTCAGCTCCCAGAACCCACTGGGAAGCTGGTCTCGTCCGCCAGGCTGGGGTGCACTGAGGCTTCGCGCTGCCACGGGGAATGAGACCCTGTCCCGGGAAGGCCTGCCAGCAGCGCCCATGGGGAGGACTTGGGAGCCGGGGGCGGGGGGGGGGCTCACCCTCCCTCCACTGTGCGGTCGGGTTTCCACACAGGAAGGCTTGTCTGTCGGCTAGTGGTAACTGGACACCCGGGAGGGGGGGCTCCTGCCACCTCTCGCCCAGAGCTTCCCATGGCCCCAGCCCAACCCCCACTCCCCGCAAGGGAAGAAAGCTCTGAGTCACCCCGGAACTCCAGCTCTCCGTCAGGCACACACAAACAGGTGGGAGGAGGCGGCCCCGTCAGGGACCGGTCTGGTTTGATCATTTCTTTTTTTCCCTTCCTTCCTCTCTCCCTCTCTCCCTCCCAACCTTCCTTTCTTCTTTTGAAACAGAGTTTTGCTCCTTTTGCCCAGGCTGGAGTGCAATGGTGAGATCTTGGCTCACGGCAACCTCTGTCTTCTGGGTTCGAGCAATTCTCCTGCCTCAACCTTCCGTTTGCAGGCATGTGTCACCATGCCAGGCTAATTTTGTTTTTTTTAGCGGAAGCAGGGTTTCTTCATGTTGGCCAGGCTGGTCTCAAACTCCCAACCTCAGGCAATCCGCCCGCCGCAGCCTCCCAAAGTGCTGGGATTACAGGCGTGAGCTCATTTGAGTCTGCTGTTGGGACCGGTCACATCCTCCCATGGAGAACAGCAGCCCTGATGGGGGCACCTCTCCTCCCAGCGCCTCGGAGTTGCCCTGGTCAGACCCCACTAGGGGGTAGGGAGGGGTGTGGCCATTCAGGAAGATGAGGCCTGAGGGGCCGACGGCCATTTCCCCGCTCACATCTCCCAGGCCGTCTGCCCCCTTGGCCCCCAGTCTTCCGTGGGTCCTCTGCCCCAGCTGCCCGCCAAGCTCCTAGGCCTCCTAGGCCTGGGTTTCACCCACTGAGGGAGATGACCGCTTGCTCTGGGAGTGGGCGTGGCCTCAGGAACCCCTAGCAGCTAGAGCTTCGGTTCTAGGATGCCCTCTGAACCTGACATCAGCTTCGTGGTGCCATCTGGCACCCCTGTAGGGGACAGGCCTGGCTGGCTCCCTGGGGAGACTGAGGGAGTATGGGGAGCTCCCCTGCCCTTTGAGGGGAATCGGTGAGGCCCTTATGGAGGGGGAGGAAGCGCCCATGGGCCTGTCCTTCCAGGCAGGTGAGGCTTCCCACAAAGGCTGGCCTCCGGGTCCTTTAAGGCCGTCAACACTGTCTGCCTGATGCCCCTGCCTGGCGGTAACACACCCTCCCGCTGGGACCATGGCCACAGGTAAACAGAGCGGTCACTGTGGATCCTCCAACAGCTGCAGGCCAGAGGAGGAGGGCGGCACTCCCCCTGCTCCGCCTGCGCCCGGCCCCACCTGCCCCAGGGCAGAGGGGGAGGGCGGCACTCCCCCAGCCCCGCCTGCGCCCCGGCCCCGCCTGCCCCACTTCCCAGCTCTTCTGGCCCTCTTTGGACTTCATCCTACATGGCCACAGACCCCAGGCGTCGATCCTCCTGCCTCTCCACCCTGCCGCAGGCCTAATTTATTCTTTCAGAATCATTACAAAAATACAGCCGGAGCCGGGCGCGGTGGCTCAAGCCTGTAATCCCAGCACTTTGGGAGGCCGAGGCGGGTGGATCACAAGGTCGAGAGATCGAGACCAACCTGGTCAACATGGTGAAACCCCGTCTCTACTAAAAATACAAAAAATTAGCTGGGCATGGTGGCACGTGCCTATAATCCCAGCTACTCAGGAGGCTGAGGCAGGAGAATTGCCTGAACCCAGGAGGCGGAGGTTGCGGTGAGCCGAGATCGCGCCATTGCACTCCAGCCTGGGTAACAAGAGTGAAACTCCGTCTCAAAAAAAAAAAAAAAAAAAAAAAAAAAATACAGCCGGGCATGGTGGCTCACACCTGCAATCCCAGCACTTAGAGAGACCGAGGTGGGCAGATCACCTGAGGTCAGGAGTCCAAGACCAGCCTGACTAACACGGTGAAACTGACTCTACTAAAAATACAGAAGTTAGCTAGTGTGGTTACGTGCATGCCTGTAATCCCAGTTACTCTGGAGGCTGAGGCAGGAGAATCACTTGAACTTGTGAGGAAGAAGTTGCAGTGAGCTGAGATGGTGCCACCACACTCCGGCTTGGGCACGAGAGCATGGCTGTCTCAAAAATAAATACAAATACAAATACTATAAAAATACAGCTGGGCGCAATGGCTCACATCTGTAATCACCGCACTTTGGGAGGCCAAGGTCAGGAGCTCGAGATAGGCCTGGTCAACATGGTGAAACCCTGCCTCTACCAAAAACAAAATATAAAAAAGGCCGGGCACGGTGGCTCACGCCTGTAATCCCAGCACTTTGGAAGGCAAGTTGGGTGGATCAGGAGGTCAGGAATTCAAGACCAGCCTAGCTAAAATGGTAAAATCCCGTCTCTACTAAAAACACAAAAATTAGGCCGGGCATGGTATCGGGTGCCTGTAATCTCAGCTACTTGGGAGGGTGAAGCAAAGAATTGCTGGAACCCGGAAGGCGGAGTTTGCAGTGAGCCGAGATAGCGACACTGCACTCCAGCCTCGGCAACAGAGAGTCTGTCTAAAATAAATAAAATAATTAGCCAGGCATGGTGGGGCACACCTGTAGTCTCAGCTACTTGGGAGCTGAGGCAGGAGAATCGGTTGATCGCAGGAGATGGAGGTTGTAGTGTGCCAAGACCACACGTTGCACTGCAGCCTGGTGACAAGAGCAAAACTCCATCTCAAAAAAAAAAAAAAAAAGCCGGGCGCGGTGGCTCAAGCCTGTAATCCCAGCACTTTGGGAGGCTGAGGCGGGTGGATCACGAGGTCAAGAGATCGAGACCATCCTGGTCAACATGGTGAAACCCCGTGTCTACTAAAAATACAAAAAATTAGCTGGGCATGGTGGTGCGTGCCTGTAATCCCAGCTACTCAGGAGGCTGAGGCAGGAGAATTGCCTGAGCCCAGGAGGCGGAGGTTGCGGTGAGCCAAGAACGCGCCATTGCACTCCAGCCTGGGTAACGAGCGAAACTCCGTCTCAAAAAAAACAAAACAAAAGAAGAAAGCTACAAAAATACAAAAGGCACAGTAGCTCCTGCCGGTAATCCCAGCACTTTGGGAGGCCGAGGCGGTCGGATTACATGAGCTCAGCGGTTTGAGACCAGCCTGGCCAACGCGGTGAAACCCGATCTCTACCAAAATTACAAAAATTAGCGGCATGGTGGTGGGTGCCTGTAGTCCCAGCTACTGGAGAGGCTGAGGCAGGACAATCTTTTGAACTTAGGGGGCCGAAATCGTGCTCCAAAATAACAAGTAAAATAAAAATGCTAGAAAAACACAGCGCGTTTGTTTCCCAGCAGGTTGATTAAAGGTGGGACCACACGCAATTCACGTTTTTCATGTTTTTTTTTTTCCTACCCAAGTAGAAATCAAGTCTCCAACTGGGAAAAGCATCCACAGAACTATCTGTCAGCCCCGGCGCGCCGACCGGCGGTTAGAACACCCGCCCCGGAGCCCGCGAGGTCGGGCCCCCGCCGACCGAGAAGCTCGCGCACCCCCGGGCAGAGGCTCCCGGGAGACGGGCGCGGGGCCAGCGCCGTCTCCACAACACGGCGGGGCGCGCGGCTGCGGGGGGAACTCGGGCCCCCGCGCCCCTCCCTGCCCCGAGCTCCCACTTGCGCCCCTCACCCCGACCGCAAGGGCAGCGGGCGCGCGGGACGCGGGAGCAGGACGGCCCGCCACCTCCGCGGCTCTGCGGGGAGCTCCCCTCCGGGCCGCGGCCTCCAAGCCCGGGCGTCTTCCGGCCTTGCAGGCACCGCGGCTTCCTCGGCCCGGAGGCCCCGGGCTCGCTCCGTGCGGACCCCGCTCCCGAACCCGTCCGGCGCGCAGATGCCGCGTCCCGGGGCAAGGCCGGCGAGGGCGCGACACCGGACGCTGGGCCGCCGCGGGCCTGCCCTTCCCGGCTCCCGGCCCGCGTCCCCGGGCTCCGAGCCAGGGCTGTGCCCGCCCCACGCCGGCCCGGCCCGCCCCGCCCCGCGCAGCTGCCAGACGCCCGACCGGAACCCGCGCCCGCGCCGACGCCCCACCCCTGCGCGCGCCTCCCGCGGCTCTGCGGCGGTTACCAGGACGCTGACCCCGCACAGCCAATAGCGCCAGCCCGACGGCGTGCTCCCGGGAGCCAGCCAATGACAGGGCAAATCAATCATTTGAAACACCCAATGGACGGGGCAGTGCTGCGCCAGGTGGGGGGTTTGTGATAGGGCGATCGGAGGCTGCGGCTGACCAATAAAGACCCAACGGGGTTGAAAAGGCAGACCTTAGGCGGGCTGATTGACGGGAATGGGACCAATCAAACGAGGGCGCTTTCCAGCCTCGTTCTGGCAGCCAAATCCGGGGCTGTCGGAGGCGGGCGCAGAGGGTATATAAGCATTGGCGGAGCGTCGGTTGTAGCAGTCTGCGCGCCTGCTTCTCTGTTTGTGTTCCTTGTTTTTCTGCCCTCGTCCCCGCCGCCGCCGCCGCCGCCGTCGCCGCCGCCGCCGCCGTCATGAGGGAGATCGTGCACCTGCAGGCCGGGCAGTGCGGCAACCAGATCGGCGCCAAGGTGAGCTGCCGGGGCACTGGGGCTGGCGCGGGCCAGCCGGGCGGGACGGCCGGGGAGCCGGGGAAGATGGCGGCAGCGGCGGGCGGGCGGCGCCCCCGCATTGCGGTCGCCAGGCCCTTGGCGCGGGGACCGGGCTGAGCCGGGCGGCCGAAGCCCCCGGGATCCCGGCGGCTGGGGCGCGTGGGGCAGGGGGAGGGGCGGGCAGGACCGGGCAGCCGCGCCCGTCCGGGGCGGGGCTGCCTCCCTGCGCACCGGCCGCGGTGACTCAGCCCCGGCCCGCCCGGGCCCGCCCGCGTCCCTCGCAGTTCTGGGAGGTGATCAGCGATGAGCACGGCATCGACCCCACGGGCACCTACCACGGGGACAGCGACCTGCAATTGGAGCGCATCAACGTCTACTACAACGAGGCCACCGGTGAGGCCCCGGCCCCTTCCCCGACCGCCCTCCCCGGACCCCGCGGCCCCTGCCCTGGCTGACGCCCTCCCGTCCCCGCAGGCGGCAAGTACGTGCCCCGCGCAGTTCTCGTGGACCTGGAGCCCGGCACCATGGACTCCGTGCGCTCCGGGCCCTTCGGGCAGATCTTCCGGCCGGACAACTTCGTTTTCGGTGAGCCGCGGCTGGGGGCTTGGCGGCGGCTCAAAGGTCAAGGGGCGGCTGCAAGGGCACCGTCGTTGGAACTGCGCGGCCAGGGCCCCTGGACCCCTTCTCTCCTGAGCTGCTCAATCCCCTTTTCTAAATCGGCTTTGGGAGCAAGGTCCAGCTGTCTGCCGAGGCGAGGAGCCGCCGCGCACGTAATCTCCCTGTAGGGAGCTGGGCTGGGCGCAGTGTCGGCTGCTCTGTCCTTGGGAACTGGCAGGGCCCCTGACTTCATTTGGACCTGGCAGGCTGCCCATCTTAAGCTTTGAGGGTCCCTTTGCGCTACGCGCAGGGTGGATTCTGCGGTCAGCCCATACCACGTGCTTGGTTTTTTATCCCGTGGTGTTTATGACCAGTAGTGACATCTACCTGGCTAACTAGTGACTGTGTTCTTTCGCAGGTCAGAGCGGTGCTGGGAACAATTGGGCCAAGGGACACTACACAGAAGGCGCAGAGCTGGTGGATTCGGTGCTGGACGTTGTGAGGAAGGAGGCTGAGAGCTGTGACTGCCTGCAGGGTTTCCAGCTGACCCACTCCTTGGGTGGGGGGACTGGGTCTGGGATGGGTACCCTCCTTATCAGCAAAATCCGGGAGGAATACCCAGACAGGATCATGAACACGTTCAGTGTGGTGCCCTCCCCCAAGGTGTCAGACACGGTGGTGGAGCCCTACAATGCCACTCTCTCAGTCCACCAGCTTGTAGAGAACACGGACGAGACCTACTGCATCGATAACGAAGCTCTGTACGACATCTGCTTCAGAACCCTCAAGCTGACAACACCCACCTACGGGGACCTCAACCACCTGGTGTCTGCCACCATGAGTGGGGTCACCACCTGCCTGCGCTTCCCAGGCCAGCTCAATGCTGACCTGCGCAAGCTGGCCGTGAACATGGTCCCGTTCCCCCGCCTGCACTTCTTCATGCCTGGCTTTGCCCCACTGACCAGCCGGGGCAGCCAGCAGTACCGGGCCCTGACAGTGCCTGAGCTCACCCAGCAGATGTTTGATGCCAAGAACATGATGGCAGCCTGCGACCCCCGCCATGGCCGCTACCTGACGGTGGCCGCCGTGTTCAGGGGCCGCATGTCCATGAAGGAGGTGGATGAGCAAATGCTTAATGTCCAAAATAAGAACAGCAGCTATTTTGTCGAGTGGATCCCCAACAACGTGAAGACGGCTGTCTGTGACATCCCGCCCCGGGGGCTAAAAATGTCCGCCACCTTCATAGGCAACAGCACGGCCATCCAGGAGCTGTTCAAGCGCATCTCGGAGCAGTTCACGGCCATGTTCCGGCGCAAGGCCTTCCTGCACTGGTACACGGGCGAGGGCATGGACGAGATGGAGTTCACCGAGGCCGAGAGCAACATGAACGACCTGGTGTCCGAGTACCAGCAGTACCAGGATGCCACAGCCGAGGAGGAGGGCGAGTTCGAGGAGGAGGCCGAGGAGGAGGTGGCCTAGAGCCTCCAGTCACCGGGAAAGCGGGGGAGCGGTGTGAACTCTTTATTCACTCCCAGCCTGTCCTCCGGCCCGTCCCGCTGTGTGTGCACCTGCTGATTTCCCTCCTGTGTCCCACGCTGTACAGACACCACCATTAAAGCTTTTTCATAGTGTGTGGTCTCGTCGCGCCTGTTCCTTCCAGTAGGCCTTCCGGGTGCTGTTGCCAAACGTCAGCGCGTAGCTGTCCTGCATGGCTGCAGGGACCGAGGCTGATGCTGAGCTGGGATTTTCACATGCCAGGGACCAGCATGGGCTGGACACCGGGCTCCAGGGGAGTGTGGGGCTGCCCCAGGCATCTGCTTTCTGAAGCAAGCCTGGTCCGTCCCGGGTACCAAACCTTAAGGGGCCAGGTGGCCCAAGTCTGGGACGTTAATAGGACAGCCCAGTGACCGCCATCCAAAAGGGCCAGGGAGAATGGCCAACAATCCTACACCAAGATGGAGCCGGGGGACTGGTCAGACAGGTGGTTCTGAACTAGCAGCCAAGGGAGGACAGCTCGAGCCCCAGACACCCCTCCCCACAGTGGCCGTCGTGTGTCTATGTGACCCTGTCCTAAAGCTGGGCATGGGGTCCCCTACTCACAGGGGATGAACCCCATGTAGAAGGGGATCAGGCCTTGGCTGCTGTAGATGTGGTTGCTGGGCCAGTGTGTTCCCGGCAGCTTCTCGCCCAGGTCACAGTGGGGGTTTCTGAACAGGAACTGGGAGACAGGCCGGTGCTGAGGAGCTGCCTCCCCCACAGGCAACCAGACCGAACAATGTCCCAGTAGGGGCCTGATGGGGGTAGGGGCGGCACTCCGTGGGAAAGCTGCCCAATGTCCCAACCTCCTGCATCCTCACCCCAGGATCCAGGACTCAGGAGAGGGTTGGGGCACCTCCTCTGGGCACAGGAGAGAGAGAGCCAGGCAGAGCCCCCCCTCCGCCAGGCTTCTCAGGGAGCCTGGCCTTCAGGACCCCTCCAGGGAAGCTGCCAGACTGGAGGAAGCTGTGTGAGCTGGGAGCAGGCCCGGGTCGGCGCTCTCCTACCTGGCTCTTGTCGAACTCGTCCATGGCCTGTGCGACGCCATCTCGGTAATTGACCCCCATTACCCAGGAGAACCGGGGAATGAAGCCAGCATAGCCTGGGGTGGGCAGATGTGCAGGTCCTACCCAGGCCCTTTGACCTTCCCCCTGGCCATACCCACCTGCCCCAGACGCATCAGGGTAGCCCGGTAAGGCTCTCTTTCCTTCCCTGCTGTGGCCAAATGGGAAGAGGCAGGCAGGACAGCACCTCGTTCTGGGAAAAGCTGGACTCCCGGAAGCAGCAGGAGGCAGAGGAGGTCCCCTCAGCCTGCTAACCCGTTCCAGAGCAGGAAAAGCAGCCCTGTGGCAGCCCTCACACTCCTGGAACCTTGTGGGGAGGGACGCCCTGGTCCAGCCCAGCCCTGCGCCCACCTGAGATGGCCTTGCGTTGGATTAGGTTGGGGTGGTCCAGCTGTGGCAGCCGCTGGAACCTGCACATGTCTAGTGTCTCCTGCTGGTGAGTGTGGGGTGGGTACTCGTCCCTCCGGCAGTGGTACAGCTGCAGTAGGGAAGGCAGAGGTCGCCCTGCAGCTCCCACCCACGGCCGAGCTGGAATGGGCTTGGCACAGACCGGTGCATCCTGTACCTGCTGCCGCCTGGGGGCCTCACAGACAGGGCCGGCGTGCCTCCAGGCCTCCTCCCCCAAGGCCAGTTGCAGGCCTGGGTGTCCCGAGTCTCTGGAGTCCCCCTTCCTGCCTGGAGGGCACAGTGGGTGGGGGGGGTAGGGCATGACACCTGCAGGCAGCAGCAGATGTCTGGGTATGTTCTCTAACCCTGGCGGCTCCGGGGCGTCCACATCCAGGGGTGGCAGCTGGCCCCGGATCTCGAAGTTCTTGTAGGGCTTCAGACCTGTACGGACGGGGCAGCCTGTGAGTGCCAGGACGGGCGGGTGCGGGCGGGTGTGGGGCCGGGGACGGCAGCTCACCGGTGTAGTGGGGAATGTATGGCTCAGTCAGGTCTCGGCAGGGAACCCGGGGGGGCCTGGGCTGGCTGAAGTCCTCAATGAACTTGGGCTTGGACATGGGGGACAGCACAGAACAGGGGCTCTTATGCACGCTCGGGTCTGTGAGCAGCTGGCCCGTGGTGCGCCCGTAGGTGTTCCCCACCTGGAAGCGCAGCTGCGGGTAGAAGCCGGCATAGCTGTGAGGGAGACAGGAGGTGGGTGGGGCTCACGGGCAACCCAGTGCAGCGCAGGGCCCCTCAAACCAGGCGGGGGTCCTGCCCGCCACTGAGGGCGGCCTGGCCCTCGGCAGGTCCCCGGCCCTCTGCTCACCTGCAAATGGGACTGCAGAGGCACCGGCCTTCCCGGGCTCTTGTCGCCTGAACGGGCAGTGTGCAGCAGGTGCTCAGGACGCTGCCGGCCTTGCACAGGCTACGAGAGCCTTCCAACCCCTCCCAACCCTCATCCCAAAGGCCAACGAGGCAGGAGTTCTCTGCCCTGGCAGAGCAAGTTCAGGCACAGGACATGTGGGCCAGGGCCTAGGCAAGGGACTGCCCCTTAGACACAGGCTGGGCCCGGCCGGGAGTGTGTGCCATGGTCTTGGCCTGCCCCCTGCCACCCAGGAGAGGCCAGTGGCGTCTTGCAAGGACCAGGACTGGGGCTGGGGCCTTTTGGGCCTTCATTCGGCCCGTGGGGTGTGTTGCAGGTGGCGTGGGCGGTTCAGCGCCCCAGGGCCTGTGTGATCACTGACGGAGGGAGAACTGCCTCTGTTTGAAAAATTGCCAACGGGCCCAGAGTGGTGGCTCACACCTGTAATCCCAACACTTTGGGAGGCTGAGGCGGGCTGATCATGTGAGGTCGGGAGTTCAAGACCAGCCTGGCCAACATGATGAAACCCTGTCTCTACTAAAAATACAAAATTAGCTGGGCGTGGAGGCTCATGCCCTCTAATCCCAGCTACTCAGGAGGCTGAAGCAGGAGAATCACATGAACCTGGGAAGCGGAGCTTGTGGTGAACTGAGATCGCGCCATTGCACTTCAGCCTGGGCAACAAGAGTGAAACTTCATCTCAAAGGAGGCCGAGGCAGGTGGATCACGAGGTCAAGAGATCGAGACCAACCTGGTCAACATGGTGAAACCCCGTCTCTACTAAAAATACAAAAAATTAGCTGGGCATGGTGGCGTGTGCCTGTAATCCCAGCTACTCAGGAGGCTGAGGCAGGAGAATTGCCTGAACTCAGGAGGCGGAGGTTGCGGTGAGCCAAGATCGCGCCATTGCACTCCAGCCTGGGTAACAAGAGTGAAACTCCATCTCAAAAAAATAAAAATAAAAAAAATAAAATAAAAAATAGGCCAGGCACGGTGGCTCAAGCCTGTAATTCCAGCACTCTGGGAGGCCGAGGCGGGTGGATCACGAGGTCAAGAGATCGAGACCATCCTGGTCAACGAGGTGAAACCCCGTCTCTACTAAAAATACAAAAAATTAGCTGGGCATGGTGGTGCGTGCCTGTGATCCCAGCTACTCAGGAGGCTGAGGGAGGAGAGAATTGTATGAACCCCACAGGTGGAGGTTGCAATGAGCCGAGATCACACCATTGCACTCCAGCCCGGGCAACAGGACAGGACTCCGTCTCAAATAAATTAATAAATAATAATAATAAAAAGGGGCCGGGCGCAGTGGTTCATGCCTGTAATCCCAGCACTTTGGGAGGCCGAGGCGAGTGGATCACCTGAGGTTGGGAATTCGAGACCAGCCTGACCAATATGGTGAAACCCCGTCTCTTAAAAAAAAAAAATTAGCCGGGCACGGTGGCTCAAGCCTGTAATCCCAGCACTTTGGGAGGCCGAGGCGGGTGGATCACAAGGTCGAGAGATCGAGACCATCCTGGTCAACATGGTGAAACCCTGTCTCTACTAAAAATACAAAAAACTAGCTGGGCGTGGTGGCGTGTGCCTGTAATCCCAGCTACTTAGGAAGCTGAGGCAGGAGAACTGCCTGAACCCAGGAGGCGGAGGTTGCGGTGAGCCAAGATCGCGCCATTGCACTCCAGTCTGGGTAACAAGAGCGAAACTCCGTCTCAAAAAAAAAAAAAAAAAAAAAAAAAATTATTAAAAAATACATATTTGGGAAGTAACCACTCATAAGTCTACCTTGTATCCTGACATTATTAGGACTATAAGCCTCAACTTCGGTATCTCTCAAACTCCGATTAGCCTTTCCATAGTGGGAAGGGAACCTGTCTCTTTCTAGGAAAAATGCTGCTATTTTGTAAACCAGTTAAGTATTGTGAGGCTTGTTTAACAACTGACTATCCTGGCTCTGACCTCTCTTAGGCTCATTTATAACCATTCTATATTTGTTAAAAAATATATATATATATATATATTTATATTTATACATAAATAGAAATTAAAGTGTGGAGTTCTCTACGGAGTGGGCATCAGGCACTTCCTCGCTGGCTTGTGCCCGCTGCTCCGCTGCCCCGGTTTCTGCTCAGCAGATGTGTGGCCGCCTGGCGTGGTGTCTGCAGTGGTACAGCAGCAGGGAGGGTGAGGGCTGGGCCTCTGGCAGCCCCGGCCCCGAGCGTCCCATGTCCCAGGCCAGCTCTGGCCCCTCACCACTGGCCTCCAGGCCTCAGGCCTCATGCCCCAGCCCTGCTCCCCTTCTGCAGCCCTGGCTCAGCCCCTTGGAGCGCCCGGTCTCACCCAGGGATGTAGTGTGGCTCTGGCGTGAAGAGGCTGTGTTTCTGAGTAGCTGTCATTTTGCTTCCACTCTGGCCTTGCTGGCTCCTGTCCCTCCCGGTGTCCAGCCCCCTTCTCTGAGGGGAGTCCCATTGCCAGGCAACCATTGTGAGGGGCCAGCATTGTGGGCGCCTCCTGGGCCAGGCCACCTCGCTAACCCTGTGAGTGCCCCCACTGTACAGGTGACTCACAGAGGCCGAGATATGTGCCAGGCTGGAGAAGGGTCACGGTGAGGCAGGGGGCCTGTGAGGAAGTCCCATTAACTTCAGAGCTGAGAAAACAGGACTGACCTCCAGGAAGGGCCTGGGCTCTTGGGGCCCCCAGAAGGCCAGCAGCCCCTGCCTCCAGGTGAGGCTACGGGAGCCCCCAGAACCCTCCTCTGACAGGACACCCTTGTGGCTGTGGAGCCTCGGAGCCTTGGCTGGGGTCGGGGGCTGCCTGGCCTGCAGGCCTGAGCAGACTCTCCCTCCGGTGGGCCCTTCACGCAGGGCAGGACATTGTGCTTACATTTTAAAGAAATCCTGAATTTTATTCTTTTCTACAGGAAGGACTTCCTAACCATAAAAATGAAGGAAGGTGGCCGGGTGTGGGGGCTCACACCTGTGATCCCAGCACTTTCGGAGGCTGAGGCGGGCGGATCACCCAAGGTCGGGAGTTCAAGACCAGCCTGATCAACATTGTGAAACCCTGTCTTTACTAAAAATACAAAAATTAGCAGGGTATAGTGGTGCACGCCTGTAGTTGTAGCCGAAGCTACGATTCTCCTGAGGCAGGAGAACCGCTTGAACCTGGGAGGTGGAGGTTGCAGTGAGCTGAGATCACGCCACTGCACTCTAGCCTGGGTGAAAGGAGACTCTGTCTCAAAAAAAAAAAAAAAAAAAGGAGGGAAGGCTGGCACTGTGGCTCATGCCTATAATCCAGGCACTTTGGGAGGCTTAGGCAGGACGAGGTGGGTGGATTGCTTGAGCCCAGGAGTTTGAGCCAGCTGGGCAACACAGGGAAACCGTGCCTCTACAGAAAAGAAAGAAAAATTAGCCAGGTGTGGTGAGCCTGCCTGTGGGTACTTGGCAGGATGAGATGGGAGGAGGGCCTGAGCCTGGGAGGTGGAGGCTGCAGTGGGCTGATATTGCACCACTGCACTCCAGCCTGGGCGACAGAACCAGACCACGTCTCAACAAAGAAAAAAAACTGAACTAAAAGGCAAACTAAAGACTGGAAAAAAGTTTGCCACAGGTGTTATGAATAGATGTGAGGTCAGCATGAAAAGCTGTCACCTGGCAGCTCATGTCACCCCAGCACTTCGGGAGGCTGAGGCGGTGGGTGTTTGAGACTGAGGTCAGGAGTTTGAGACCAGCCTGGTCAACATGACAAAACCCCGTCTCCACTAAAAACACAAAAATTAGGCCGGGCACGGTGGCTCAAGCCTGTAATCCCAGCACTTTGGGAGGCTGAGACGGGTGGATCACGAGGTTGAGAGATGGAGACCATCCTGGTCAACATGGTGAAACCCCATCTCTACTAAAAATACAAAAAATTAGCTGGGCATGGTGGCACGTGCCTGTAATCCCAGCTACCCGGGAGGCTGAGGCAGGAGAATTGCCTGAACCCAGGGGGCGGAGGTTGCGGTGAGCCGAGATCGCGCCATTGCACTCCAGCCTGGGTAACAAGAGTGAAACTCCGTCTCAAAAAAAAAAAAAACACAAAAATTAGCCGGGTATGGTGTCGGGAGCCTGTAATCCCAGCTACTGGGGAGGCTGAGGCAGGAGAATCGCTTGAACCTGGGAGGCGGAGGTTGCAGTGAGCTGAGATTGTGCCATTGCACTCCAGTCTGGGTGACAAGAATGAAACTGTGTCAAAAAAAAAAAAACAAAAACAAAAACAGGGCCAGGCGCAGTGGCTCACACCTGTAATCCCAGCACTTTGGGAGGCCAAGGCGGGTGGATCACGAGGTCAAGAGATCGAGACCATCCTGGTCAACATGGTGAAACCCTGTCTCTACTAAAAATACAAAACATTAGCTGGGCGTGGTGGCACGTGCCTGTAATCCCAGCTACTCAGGAGGCTGAGGCAGGAGAATTGCCTGAACCCAGGAGGTAGAGGTTGCAGTAAGCCAAGATCGCGCCATTGCACTTCAGCATGGGTAACAAGAGTGAAACTCTGTCTCAAAAAAAAAAAAAAAACCTCCCACAAAACAAAGATATAAACAAACCTCCATAGAAAATGCAGAACCTTTAAAAAAAAAAAAGACCGCAGAGTTTGTAAGTATACGGGCATAAAGTCAGACCACAATCACATAAAAGCTGATGTGATGACATTTTTGGAGGCTTACTGCTGGCAGGACCATGGTGAGAAAAGCCTCTAATTTAAGTGACACCTCCTGGAAAGCAATTTGGTACCTATCAAGTTCACACTCACACTCCCAGGAAGCTTCCTGGCACCTGGGTGGACACGGTTTTCCTCCACTGTTCTGGCTGGTAACTCCCACAGCCCTTGGTATGGACATTTGATAGAATGTTGGGTGTGGCGGGGCGCGGTGGCTCACGCCTGCACTTTGGGAGGCTGAGGTGGGTGGATCACCTGAGGTCAGGAGTTCAAGACCAGCCTGGCCATCATGGTGAAACCCCCATCTTATATGTATAAAGAAAGAATGTTGGGTGTGTGTGGCCTGGGTGGCAGGGGAAGGGGGACTCTGACCTCCTACCCTCCTTTTATCTGGTTCTTAAGACTCTCCCAAGAGAGGCCCCACCCTATGCCCTGGGGGCAGGAATGCTGAGAAATCCCTAGAGGATAAGAGGGAGGGTCATCAGGAGGTTCCCAGGGGGTGGAAGCCAGGGAGGGCAAGGAAGCTCCACCCCTCCCACACCTCTCTGTACAGGGCTCTTCCTTGGCATCCTCTGCAATCAGTACCCTTTACAATAAACCAGTAACCCTCAGCCAGTGTTTCCGAGTTCTGTGAGCAGCTCCAGCAAATTAAACCCAAAGAGGGTGTCATGGGAATCCCAGCTTGAAGCTGGTTGGTCAGGAGTTCCAGAGGCCCAGACTTGCCGCGGTGTGCCTGGCTGTCTTGGGATGGAGCCCTCACCCTGTGGAATGTGACACCGTCTCCAGGTAGATGGTGACAGAGGTGAATTAGAGGACCCCCAGCTTGGTGCGTGGGGAACCCTCCCTCTGCCACGGCTGTGGTGGTGTGGGTGCAGACGGAACACGTGCGTTTCCGCCACGCCTTCGGGAGGAAAGGACGTTCAGCCTTGTCAGTCACGCCGTCGGCAATGTTTATTCCAGGAGGAGCTGGAGGGGCCTCTCTGTCCAACGGCCAGGGCTTCATTAGCAAAGCATGGTTCATTCTGCAGCAGCCAGGCAACTCTGAACCCAGCACGACCTAGGCCTGCGCCCAGAGCACAGGGCGTGAGCCCCATCCAGATAAAACCTGGTTTCCTCAAGCACGTGTCCGTCTGCCTGCCTGGCAGGCCCGTGCTGAAGGCCAGGCATCATGGAGGGTGGAGGAGGGCTGGGAGTTGGGCCTGCGGATAAGGCGCTTCACAGGCTCTGCCCTGGTGGATTCTGGGCCAAGGTCAGGGCTGGGACCGGCCAGCGGCCAGCTCAGAGGCCACACAGTGGGGAGCCCTGGTGCCCAGCTGGGCTCCCGCTCACAAAGGCTGGCTGTGCCTTTGCAGCTCGGGCAGCGAGGCCATCTGTGTCACCTTCTGGCCTCTGTGTCCCCAGGTGAGAGGCAGGCCCTCACACTCCAGCCCTGCCTGTGGCTCCAGGGCCCTGCCTTCCTCTGGGGTTAGACCATCTGATGTGGCTTTGCTTTTCCCCCAAGTGGAAATCCAGGTGGGATGGTGGCTCCTCCTCCAGGGATCCTTCCTGGACCCCTCCCTCCCTCCTTCCCACCCCCGGGAACCCTGGCTGGCCTGACACAGAGGGGACTCCACAGGACTTGGCAGATGCTTATAGGTCCTGCTCCCCTCCCCGTGCCGAGGCCTCAGTCCTCCCAGAAGCCCCTCGAGAGTGGACCCAGCCTTCCAGGAGACCCCAGGGTGCAGGAGAGGAGAGCGAGTTGGAAAAGTTAGCAGGGACTGGAGCAGGGAGGGCTGGGCCAGGGGTCACCTGAGCAGGCTGCAGATCCTGGCCCAGTCGGAACCAGTGACCATCTAGCTGGTGGGGGAGGGGCCCACAGCGTGGGGACCCTGGGGCAGCCCCTCTAGGGACGGACAATGAGTCTTTCCCAGGAACCCCGGCAACAGAGGAGCCTATCAGTGAGGTCACAGAGCCCCGTGATGCCCTCAGGGAAGACAGCCAGAAGACTCTGATGATGAATTTTGACCAGAAGGCTGTGAAATTCCTGGCAAATTTTTACATCAATGGAGGCAAACACTGGACCCATGGGCCCCTGAGGCCGATGCTGCCAGAGCCCATCCAGTAACTTGCAGGGGGGAGTGGCGGAGGTCTGAGGGACAGTGTGGTGGGGGGTGCAGGCTGAGGGGCAGGGGGCTGGGAGTGACGGGGCTGAGGGACAGTGTGGGGGCTGGGTTGTGGGGCCAGGGGCTGAAGGACAGTGGCTCGGGCGTCTCCGGTGCAGGCCCAAGGCATCCGTGCTATTGCTGGGCCTGGAGCCAGGGCTGGCCTGGGATGAGACATGGCCCCCAAGGATGAAGTGCCCAGCTGGCCTCGGGTTTCAGATGGGCGCCCCCAAGAAGTCCCTGCCCATCTGCACCCAGACCCTGAGGGAGCTTCGTGAGTGAGGGTCCTGGCCGCCCCACCCCCACCCCAGGCTGGCCTTTGGGGGGCTGTGGGAAGGGCCTGCTGGAACCATCCCAGGCCCAGAGCTTGTCTCCCGTGGCCAGTGCTGGAGCAACGCCCCCCGATCACGACTGACCTGGACGTCCCCAGCCCTGCCAGGTACCAGCTGCCAAGCCCGTCGTTGCGAGAGTCCTCCCCACACCCCCACTACAGCATTGGCTGCAAACACCAGGGCCGAGGTGTGTGTCCCCTCCCTGGGGCCCGACCACTGGGCCTGTCCCCACCCTGGAAATGGGGGCCTCAGCCTCTGCACTGGAACCCCCATGGCCTGAGGCCCTTCTACGCCACTACAGAGGGCGGTGGGCGCAGGGCATGGCAGACGGTGTGGTTTCAGAGTGAAAGCCCCTTCACACAGAAGGCCGACTTCAACCGAGAGCAAAAGGTGGGGACTGGGCAGGAAGGGGGCAGGGAGTCCAGGCAGGTGGGGGCTGGGGCTTCCATCAGGACCAAAGCGGGGCTGGCTGAGGGTCTGGGGAGTCCCCTACTCTGCAGCAAGTCTCCTGCTGTCTCACAGTGGCCCTCGCCAGCCGACCACCATCCGCTCAGCCGGCCTGCCTTCCCCGCCTTCAGCTTGAGGGGCCACCACGCTGCCACCAAGACACCTGAAGGCCACACCCGCCCCTGGCTGCCTCGGGCCGGGGGGTTTGGTCTCCGGACGCAGCCCCAGTGCCTGCTCCAGGCCTCTTTGCAGGCACCTGGCAAGAGGCACCCTGGCCCCAACACCTACAACATTCTTCCTGGGAGCCGCCTGCGGAGCCCACGCCCACCAGCCTTCTCCATGAGCCGCTCCCCAGCGTTCCCCACCTGGCTCATTCGCTGTAAGGAGACCTGGAGAGGGACAGGCCAGGGCTGGGCCATGGGTGAGCGAGGTGGGGCGGGGGCGGGGGTGGAGGCTGGGAGCCAGGTGTGAGTGGGGGCTGCCACCTGGGTGGGGCTCCGAGCCTTCTCTCTTTCTCCCTCTGTCTCTCTCTCCCGTCAGCCCAAACCCCTGGCCCGGCTGCCTACCACGTGGAGGACTGCTACAACTCTCGCTTCCCCTCGGCACCCGGCGTGGTCATCCAGGGCGTGCGCAGACCCAAGCGACACGACACCGGCCCCTTCTGCACGCTCTAGAGCCCGCTGGGCAAAGCCAGCTTGGCCCGGCCAACGAGTGGAACCCAGGCCTCCCTGGGGACTTGGTGCCCCAGCCTGGCCTCTGACCCTCTGGGCATCCCTGGTGCACCCTCCTGGATGGCCCACCCTTTTATGGACTGTGGACAAGGCCAGCCCAGCCTGGAGTCCCCATCTGCCCATGCCCAGCTATAAAGATGCTGTGGGCTCTCCCATGCTCCGCAGTGTGCGGCTGTCTGTCCTTCACCGGGTGCAGTCCTGGAGACATGGCTGCCACTGGGTCACTTCCGGCTTTCCCTGTTGAGGAGTCTCCATTCGGCTGCCCCATGGCAGCGTGCCACTGACTGAGCTCTAGCCTGGAGTGAGATGGGAGGCTGTGTGGGACACCCCTACCCAGCTGTGCCCTTCAGGGGCCTGGTCCAGCTGCTGTCCACCTGAGGGTCAGCCGCTTGCTAAGCCAGGGAACTGACTTGGTTTGGAAGGAGGCACCAAATGCCCTGAGCCACCACCAGCAGATGGGGTGACCTGATCAGCCCTCAGGAGGGGCCCAGGGACCCGCTCACTAGGGCCCAGCCCCACTTCCCCTAGGCCTTCAGCTGGGGTGAGTCACCTGTGGAAACTGTGGCCCAGGGCCCTGTAGGCTGAGCCAGAGCTGCAGACTCTGGGGCGTTTACCTGCTGGGCCCCCTGCCTGTGGCTTTGCCCGGCCTGCCCTCGTACCCGGGGTCGGGCCCCAAGGCTGCCACCTTGCAGGAGGCTGACCTGCAGGTCGTGTCGCCCCTGACTGTGACTGCACCTGTAGCTCCCGGACCCCGGGCCCATAACCGGACCCCTTCAGAAAGGCTCCGGGCAGCCGCTCCGATGGCGGCAGCTCCATCCCCCTTCGCAGAGAGGACTCCAAGTCTAGGGCTGCGTATGCTGGGCCCCTTGTCCTCCTCTGCCACCGAACCAGCCAGGGGTCTAATGAAGGCCCTGGGCCGATCAACTTGGCCAGTGGCCACAGAGCTGTGGTTGCCTGGCCGTGGCAACAGGAGCTCTGCTCACGGTTGGGAAATCCCTGAGACCCAAAGCTGGAAGCGGGAGCGGCAAGAAGGATGGAGCGAACTCCTCCAGCTGGGCTGAGGGAGGGCTTCCTGGAGGAGGTGGTGGAAGAGGGAGCCTTCAAGGAAGAGCTAGAGTTTGCTGGGCAGCAGGAAAGGAATTTCTAGAGAAAACCTCAGCAGTGCAGACCGAAAGGAGAGAGGGTGCGCGGGGCCTGGCGCGGGAGAGCCTGCGGGAGGGCGGCGGGGAGGCCCGGGGGGCGGGTGCGGCGGGGAGGCCCGGGGGCCGCGGCGGGGAGGCCCGGGGAGGGCGGCCGTCGTTCGTGCTCCCGGTGTCCGCAAGGCCCCGCCTTCGCCGCAGCGCTGCGGGCGCTTGGTGCCCGTTTTACGCCGAGGAGGCCGCACCCGAGTCCCGCACCAGCGCTGCGCGGGGCCTGGGGCGCAACCCCGAAAACACGTCCCGCGTCGCGAGGCTGCCGCGAGACCAGCAGGAACGTTTTCCACACGGACGCGAGTGAAATCCACTCGGCCGAAATGGCGCCCGCCCGCCCGGCTCCCACCCACGCATGCGCTCGCGGGACCGGCGGGCGCATGCGCACGGGGCTGGCGGGGCGGGGCCTGCGGTGCGAGGGGCGGGGCCCGTGGCGCGAGGGGCGGGGCTGCTCCCAGGAACCTGCGCGCGGCCGCGGCGGTGTTTCCCGGGGGCCGGTTGGCGGGCGGACCCAGACGGTGCGGCGCGGAAGTGGGCGGCTGCGGGACGCGCGCGGAGCCGCGCGGCGGGCGGGAGCTGGCCGAGCTGGAGGGCGCGGGGGAGCGGGGCTCGGGCGGCCCCCGGGGCCCGGCAGAGCGGGCTTCTGGGGCGCCTGCGGCGGCGCCGGGGGAGCGGGCTGGGGATGGGGCGCCGAGCCGGGCGGCGGCCGGGGCCTCGGCCATGTTCGCGGGGCTGCAGGACCTGGGCGTGGCCAACGGCGAGGACCTGAAGGAGACCCTGACCAACTGCACGGAGCCGCTCAAGGCCATCGAGCAGTTCCAGGTGCGGCGGGGGGAGCCCGGCTCTTTTCGGGCGGCCGAGTCCCGTCTGCGGGGCGGCCGGGCGGCTTCCGGTGGCCGCGGCCTGGAACGCCGGGGGTCGCGCCTCCCTGTGCCCGCGGGCCGTCGGGGTGCGCGGGCGCGCGGGCGGCGGCTGACCTTCTGCTTCCTCAGACGGAGAACGGCGTGCTGCTGCCCTCTCTGCAGTCGGCCCTCCCCTTCCTGGACCTCCACGGGACGCCGCGGCTGGAGTTCCACCAGTCGGTGTTCGACGAGCTGCGGGACAAGCTGCTGGAGCGGGTGTCGGCCATCGCTTCGGAGGGGAAGGCGGAGGAGAGGTGGGTGGGCGGGTGCGCCGGGCGGCCGGCCGGGCCGGGGTGGACTCGGGGCGTGGACCGTCCTCCTGGCTGCACAGCCTTGCCCCCAGAGGCGGCCTGGGTCTGTGTCTGAGTGGCCCCTGGCCCCTCGTGTGCTGCGCGTGGAGACTCGGCCTGGCAGCCGCTATCTGTCCGGGACGTACAGACGGCTGCTCTGATTCGGCCCGTCGCCACGCCATCAATCGAGTGAGTTGTTCCAGGTACAAGAAGCTGGAAGAGCTTCTGGAGAAGAGCTTTTCTCTGGTCAAGATGCCGTCCCTGCAGCCTGTGGTGATGTGTGTCATGAAGCACCTGCCCAAGGTAGAGCCCTGACCCTGACCCTGACTCTAAGACCCTGCTGGCGCTGCTGTCCGCCCACCCTCACGCCCTTGGTTGGTGGAAGTTCCAGTGAGCCGCCTGCCTGAGTGCTGTCCATGGTGGCTCCTGTGCTGGCCTCTCCCACGTGAGCCGCGCGGAGACTGAAGCTTGGCACTGGAGTTGGGGTGTGGGGCCCCTTCTGGGAAAGAGCTGTTGGTATTTAGCCTGAACCTGCTGGGACTGGGGGCCCAGTCATGGGTGCCCTGTGGGGTGGGGCGTGGCTCGAAGTGGTCTCTGGGGGGCCGAGGCCTCTTGGCTTGTCTCGAGGGAGACCCGGGGACACAGGTGCCGCTCACAGGCAGCCTGTGGTGCTGCGTAGGTTCCTGAGAAAAAGCTGAAGCTCGTGATGGCTGACAAGGAGCTGTATCGAGCCTGCGCCGTGGAGGTGAAGCGGCAGATCTGGCAGGACAACCAGGCCCTCTTCGGGGACGAGGTCTCCCCGCTGCTGAAACAGTACATCCTGGAGAAGGAGAGCGCGCTCTTCAGCACAGAGCTCTCCGTCCTGCACAACTTCTTCAGTCCTTCCCCCAAGACCAGGCGCCAGGGCGAGGTGAGGGGGGACGGACCGCGGGCAGGGTGGGGCACCTCTTGGGGGTGCCGTGGCCAGCTCCTTCAGCTACCTGGGGATCGGCTGTTTGCTGCCTTGTGAATGGCAGGGTGGTTCTGCTCCTGGCGGGTGGCAGGGCAGCGGACCTGTGCTAGGAGGAAGGTTGGTGGTTTTTCTGTTTGTATATATTTTACTTTAGATGAAAGCCATTTGGGGACAAGGTTAAAATCTGCAGAAAGGCCCCTAATGAGAAGTTACAGCACTCTCCCCTACTTCTAAAAAGCCACTTCTGTTTGGTTCTTCACCTTTCAAGTATTTCAGTTCTTTGTTGACATGGTTGCAGTTGAGTTATTTGTTTTTTGTTCTTCAGAGGACGGCAAATCCGAGGTTCTGCCTGTTAATAACATTGGCGTTATTCTAAACTCAAATTTTCTGGTGGTTTTGTTTTGTTTTGTTTTTTTGAGACGGAGTTTTGCTCTTGCCACCCAGGCTGAAGTGCAGTGGTGTGATCTCGGCTCACTGCAGCCTCTGCCTCCCAGGTTCAAGGTATTATTCTGCCTCAACCACCCCAGTGGCTGGGATTATAGGTGTGTGCCATCATGCCAGCCAATTTTTATGTCTTTAGTGTTACGTTGGTCAGGCTGGTCTCAAACTCTTGAGCTCCAGTGATCTATCTGCCTGCCTCATCCTCCCAGAGTGTGAATATTACAGGCATAAGCCACTGTGCAGGACTTTTTTTTTTTTTTTTCCTATTTTTGCTAAGAGACAGGGTCTCACTCTTGCCTAGGCTGGAGTCCAGTGGTGTCATCACAGCCCACTGCAGGCTTGTCCTCCTGAGCTAAAGCCAGCTTCCCACCTCAGGCTCCTGAGTAGCTAGGACCACAAGCATGTGCCACCACACTTGGACTAATTAAATACTGATTTTTGTAGAGATGGGGTCTGACTGTGTTGCATAGTCTGGTCTCGAACTCCTGGGCTGAAGCAGTCCTCCTTCGTCAGTCTCCTAAAGTGCTGGGATTACAGACATGAGGCAGCACGCCCAGCTGAGATTTCTTTTTTTTTGTTTCTTGGATTTTTTTTTTTTTGAGACAGGGTCTCACTCTGTCACCCAGGTTGGACTACAGTGGTGTGATCAAGGCTCACTGCAGCCTCCACCTCCTGGGCTCAAGCAATCCTCCGACCTCAGTCTCTTAAGCAGCTGGAACCACAGGTGTGCGCTACCATGCCTGGTTAGTCTGTGTATTTTTTGTAGAGATGGGGTTTCACTACGTTGCCTAGGCTGGTCTCGAACTCTGGGGCTCAAGAAATCTGCCTGCCTTGGCCTCCTGAAGTGCTGAGATTATAGGTATAAGCGACTGCAAGTGGTTGTGAAATTTTTGTAATTAACCATTTTTTTTTTTTTTGGCGATGAACTCTTGTTCTGTTGCCCGTGCTGGAGTGCAGTGGCTTGGTCACGGTTCACTGCAACCTCCGCCTCCTGGGTTCAAGCAGTTCTGCCTCAGCCTCTTGAGTAGCCGAGACTATAGGCACGTACCATCGTGCCTGGCTAATTTTTGTATTTTTTTTATGTTTAGTAGTGACAGGGTTTCACCATGTTGACCATGCTGGTCTCGATCTCCTGACCTCAGGTGATCCACCCACCTTGGCCTCCCAAAGTGCTGGGATTACAGGCGTGAGCCGCCGCACTCGACCCTAACCTGCTTTAAACTAGCTGTTAGGTAGAAAAATAAAGTGAACTATAAGGTAAGAGTTTACAGAATCCACATTAAGAAAAAAAGATGAGACCAGTTTCATTAATGTTGACATTGGCCCAGTATATCCAGAGTATTATCTTTCAGCATTTAATGTGAAAGATTGGGCTGGGTACGGTGGCTCACGCTTGCGCTCCTAGTACCTTGGGAGGCTAAGGTGAGAGAATGGCCTGAGCCTGGTGGTTTAAGACCAACGTGTGCAATGTAGGGAGATCTCATCTCTAAAAAAAAAAAAACAAAGTAGCCAACCATGGTGGTGCACACCTGTTGTCCCAGCTACTCTGGAGGCTGAGGCAGGAGGATTGCTTGGGCCCGGAAGGTTGAGGCTGCACTGAGCTATGATTCAGCCACTGCACTCCAGCTTGGCCAACCCTGTCTCAAAAGAAAAAAAAATGTTTGGGCTATAGCTTTTTGCAGGAGGATCACTAAAATTTGAAACCTGGCGAGTCGTTCATGCTTAGAGCCCATCTGAACTCACTTGAAATGCTGAACAGTTACATGTGGCTGTGGGCTCCATTCGGGCCGTGGTTCCTGACCACTTGCACAGGTGGCAGCAGGCTTGTTGTGGCTGGCTTGTGCCACCTCTCTACTCCCGTCCCTGTTTGTTTATTCCCAGCTGAGTCCTCCCTGGGCCACCTTGTTCCATTGCTGTTAGACAGAGCCCTCGGGCCCTCTGTGAACCGGGGTGCCCTGCCTCCCCAGGCCCTTCTTCATCCTGTCTCTTCTGGTGACCTGGTGCTGCCTGTACTGATTTCTGTCTGTGAGGGCCTTGCTTGGCCTGCTTAGTCGTATGTTGATTCTCTTTTATGTTTATTTTATTTTTTTGATGCGGAGTCTCCTGTTGCTCAGGCTGGAGTGGAGTGGCAAGATTTCGGCTCACTGCAGACTTCGTCTGCCGGGTTGAAGTGATTCTCCTGCCTCTACCTCCTGAGTAGCTGGGATGACAGGCATGTGCTACCACACCCAGCTAATTTTTGTGTTTTTAGTAGAGACGGGATTTCCCCATGTTGGCCAGGCTGGTCTGGAACTTCTGACCTCAGGCGATCAACCTGTCTCCGCCTCCCAAAGGGCTGGGATTACAGGCGTGAGTCACGGTGCCCAGCCCGATTCTGTTTTAAAAAGTTACATTTAAAAAAAAAAAGGCGGGGCACGGTGGCTCAAGCCTGTAATCCCAGCACTTTGGGTGGCTGAGCCAGGCAGATCACGAGATCAAGAGATCAAGACCAGCCCAGACAACATGGTGAAACCTCATCTGTATTAATACACAATTAGCCAGGCATGGTGGCACATACCTGTAATCCCAGCTACTTGGGAGGCTGAGGTGGGAGAACTGCTTGAACCCAGGAGGCGGAGTTGCAGTGAGCTGAGATTGTGCCACCACACTCCAGCCTGTGACAGAGTGAGACTTCATCTCAAAAAAAAAAAAAAAAAATTGGTTGGGCTGCAGCTGCAGTTCCAGCTACTTGGGAGGCTGAGGCAGGAGGATCACTTAAGCCCAGGAGGTCAAGGCTGCAGTGAGCCATGATCGCACCACCGCACTCCATCCTGGGCAACAGAGCAAGGCCTTGTTTCAAGAAAAAGTAATAAAAATAACAGAACCAGCTACCATCAGACCGGTGCCAATATTTAATGAGAGAGGAGGGAAGCTTTTCTGCCTAGAAGTAGGAAAGACAGAGGTCCAGAGAGAGGGCCGTGCCACCCCTGGGTGTGACGTCCGCTTGTCCTGGCTCTGGCGGAGCCCGGGAGGGTCCCGGGGCCTGATGGGCGGCTCTCACCACAGGTGGTGCAGCGGCTGACGCAGATGGTGGGGAAGAACGTGAAGCTGTACGACATGGTGCTGCAGTTTCTGCGCACGCTCTTCCTGCGCACGCGGAACGTGCACTACTGCACGCTGCGGGCCGAACTGCTCATGTCCCTGCACGACCTGGACGTGGGCGAGATCTGCACCGTGGACCCGTGCCACAAGGTAGCTCTGCCCTCCCTCCCTCCCCACCCTGGCCCTCCTGGCTCCTCCTCCCCTTGGGTTTGGCTGGTCCAGGGACCAGCTGGGTGCTCTCCTCTCCCAAGCCTGTTTCCTGGGCTCTGTCTTTCTGTCTTGCTGTGTGCTGGCCCCTTGGCACCTCTGCAGACCCTGACAGCAGGAGGTAGCTAGTTCCCTGCATCTGAGCCAGCGACCTGGTTGTTCCTGGGAACTCCCTTGCCCTGTCCAGCCCTTTCTCTTCCCGAGGAATGTAGGACCCACAGGCTGGACCCTGACCATTGCCCCAGCGTCCTTCCATCTTTCCACCTGGTCTGTGGCTCTCTGCCTCCCCAGAACCCTGGAGGCCACTTGTTGGTCTGGTACCGAGTGCTCCAGGAATAGGGTTTTCCCTTCCCACGGGAGCCTGCAACCCGGGACCATCTTCCCAGGACTCCAGTGTCACCCTCTGAGGCCTCCATCACTTGGAGTGCTTCAGTAAGCCACCCCAGGGTGCCATGAGGGAGTCCTTTTTTGGAAAGAAGCATGACCCTCTCCACTGCTGTCCTGACCCCGCTGCTTCTGCCGTGGGGTGTGGGGAGTGCCGTGGACTGGTACCTGCTGCTGTCCTCACAGCGGCTGTGACTGTGCCAGAGGCCAGGGCTGGGGCTGTGGTCTCTGGTTGTCCTGGGAGGTTTGGGCTGGGTCCCCACTATGTTTCCTCCTTGCAGTTCACCTGGTGCCTGGACGCTTGCATCCGAGAGCGGTTCGTGGACAGCAAGAGGGCTCGGGAGCTACAGGGCTTTCTGGATGGAGTCAAGAAGGGCCAGGAGCAGGTGCTGGGGTGAGGTCAGCTCCTCGAGGCCTTCCGCCCTCAGTGCCCTGTGCATCTGGGCTGTGCTTGCTGTGTTTTGCTGTGGGTAGCATATAGGGTTCAGCCCTGCAGGGTTCTGTGAGCCCCTCCCGGCTGGGGCGGAGACGAGCAATGTAGAAATAGAAGACACGAGACGTGGAGACAGAGAAGAGAGAGTTTGGGCCTGGGGTCCACCGCTACCCAGATCTCGACCAGTAGTGGCCCCGAGTGCCAGGACGCTCTCACTTTCATTGAGTTGCAAATCTGGGGGCAGGGTAGGTAGGGCGTGGTCTTGGTGGTGGAGACTGGGGGCAGGGTAGGTAGGGTGTGGTCTTGGTGGCGGAGACTGGGGGCAGGGTAGGTAGGGTGCAGCAGTGAAAGGGTCAGGTCCATCACAGGTCATTCAGGTAGGGACTCAGGAATTTCTGACACCCGAGGTGAGGTCAGGAGCATAATGCATCCGCACTTTTTTCTTTTTTTTCTTTTTTTGAGACAGAGTCTTGCTCTGTTGCCAGGCACCAGGCTGGAGTGCAGTGGCACGATCTGGGCTTACCGCAACCTCTGCCTCCCGGGTTCAAGCATTTCTTCTGCCTTAGCCTCCTGGGTAGCTGGGACTACAAGCACGCGCCACCACGCCCAGCTAATTTTTTTTGTGTATTTTTAGTAGAGACGGGGTTTCACCATGTTGGCCAGGATGGTCTCGATCTCTTGACCTCATGATCCGCCCGCCTCGGCCTCCCAAATTGCTGGGATTGTAGGCGTGAGCCACCGCGCCCGGCCGATCCGCACTTTTTTCATACTTATCAAGGAAGAACTACAACATGAAGATTGATATTACTGTGACTGCTTCTCTTTTCTAAGACAGAAGGGGCCAGGTGCAGAAGTGGAGCATGAGAGTGGACATGGAGCGTGACCGCTGAAGCACAGCCTTACACAGGGACAGTTAACCCCTGGATGTCTGTGGGTGTCCCTGACAGCCGTCAGGCCTAACCACAGGGCCTTGGAGGAGCAGAGTTTTCTAACGTCGCCTGGGAAGCGGACGTCTCAGTCATGTTGGACGTCTCCTCCCCTAGCTAGCTAAACAGTGGGCGCTCTCCCAGCGCTGGCACTGCCTCACGGCCGAGGTGCCCTCCAGCAGCCCTTATGCGGGCGGGTCAGAGGGCTTAGAGCATCCTGCCTTAGTGTCATTCATTTCACAGTGTCACCCCAGGTTCACACTTCCGACCTGAGAGGCATCAGTTAGAGAATTTAGATCACCTGTGATTAACCAGGATCACATGTGAATAACTAATAACGATTACAGTTATATTTCTAGTTACTTTCTTCTTCGTTATTTATGTGGAAATAGCCTGAGGCCTTTTGCTCCTACTTTGGCAATTATGGGATCTCCCCTGACAGTAGCAGGTGCTTATTCCTGGATGTTGATTTCTTCTTTTTCTGAGACGGAGTCTCATTCCGTACCCCAGGCTGGAGTACAGCGGTGCGATCTCTGCTCACTGCAAACTCCACCTCAGGCTCAAGCTATTCTCCTACCTCAGCCACCTGAGTAGCTGGGATTACAGGCCTGTGCCACCACACCCAACTAATTTTTGTATTTTTAGTAGAGATAGGGTTCTGCCATGTTGGCTAGGCAGGTCTCGAACTCCTGTGCGTGAGCAATTCACTGGCCTTAGCCTTTCAAAGTGCTGTGATTACAAGCGTGAGCCACCACACCCAGCCTTTTTTTTAGTTTTTTCTTAACTCCTTTTTTTTTTTTTTTTTTTTTTTGAGACAGAGTTTCGCTCGTTACCCAGGCTGAAGTGCAATGGCGCGATCTCGGCTTACTGCAACCTCCGCCTCCTGGGTTCAGGCAATTCTCCTGCCTCAGCCTCCTGAGTAGCTGGGATTACAGGCACGAGCCACCATGCCCAGCTGATTTTTTGTATCTTTAGTAGAGGCGGGGTTTCACCATGTTGACCAGGATGGTCTCGATCTCTCGACCTCGTGATCCACCCGCCTCGGCCTCCCAAAGTGCTGGGATTACAGGCTTGAGCCACCGCGCCCGGCTTTTTTTTTTTTTTGAGACGGAGTTTCGCTTTTGTTACCCAGGCTGGAGTGCAATGGCACGATCTCGGCTCACCGCAACCTCCACCTCCTGGGCTCAGGCAATTCTCCTGCCTCAGCCTCCTAAGTAGCTGGGATTACAGGCACGCACCACCATGCCCAGCTAACTTTTTGTATTTTTAGTAGAGACGGGGTTTCACCTTGTTGACCAGGATGGTCTCGATCTCTCGACCTCGTGATCCACCCGCCTCGGCCTCCCAAAGTGCTGGGATTACAGGCTTGAGCCACCGCGCGCCCGGCTTTTTAAACTCTTTAATTTGAAAGATCTTTGAGTACATTAAGGACAAATGGCGAACCTGAAGTTTTTCGGTTTTTTGTGGTCATGGAGTCTTGCTCTGTCACCAGGCTGGAGTGTAGTGGTATGATCTGGCCGCCTCCGGGTTCAAGCGATTCTCCTGCCTCAGCCTCCCCAGTAGCTGGGATTCCAGGCGTGAACCACCACGCCCAGCTAGCTTTTGTATTTTTAGTAGAGATGGGGTTCCGCAGTGTTGGCCAGGATGGTCTCGACCTCCTGACCTCATGATCTGCCTGTGTTGGCCTCCTAAAGTGCTGGGATTACAGGCATGAGTTACTGCACCCGCCACCTTAAGCTTTTTTTTTTAAGAAACCCAGCATGTGGTGGGCGTTCGCCACCAGTCCCAGACCCAGCCTAGGCCACCCCTCCTGAGGACCATGCTGCTGACGGGAGGGGCAGCAGGTGTTGCGTTAACACCAAGGCGGCCTCCTTCCAGGGACCTGTCCATGATCCTGTGTGACCCCTTCGCCATCAACACGCTGGCGCTGAGCACAGTCAGGCACCTGCAGGAGCTGGTTGGCCAGGAGACGCTGCCCAGGGTGAGCTTGCGCTTTGCCAGTGGCTGCTGGGGCCCCTTGGCCGCCCCGCTGGCTGTCCTGGGTGGTCGGGGGTGTGGACCTTGGCGGCTACACTGCGCACTGGGTGGTTGGGGATGTGGACTGTGGCAGCCTAGGTAGAGTCCCGTGCTTCCCCCCATGCGACGGTTTCACCCCGTGTGTGGGGCCAGTGATCACAGTCCTGTGGACCTGGCCATGGGCACCAGAGACCCTGCTGGGTAGCGAGTGGGGTCAGAGGAGCTCCGTGCCTAGGACGCGCCACCTGGAAGAGACGCTGAGCCTGTGCTCCCTGCAGGACAGCCCCGACCTCCTGCTGCTGCTCCGGCTGCTGGCGCTGGGCCAGGGAGCCTGGGACATGATTGACAGCCAGGTCTTCAAGGAGCCCAAGATGGTAACGAGCCTCCTGTGGGGCAGAGACAAGGAGAGGTTGTGGGCGGGACGTGGAGTGGGGGGAAGGCGCTAGCAAGGCGATTTTGAGGCCCCTTTGGTCCCAAAGCTTCCTTTCTGGAGGTGCCAACCTTCCTTTTGGGAAAATCCCCACCAGGGGTGTTCTGGGGTCTTCGTCCATCGTGGCTGGCAACAGGGTGGCGGCCGCTCCTTATGGATCCAGGCCTAGAAGGGGGTTTGAGGAGATGTCCCTGGGTGGGAGACCTGGAGAGGAGGGTTGGGGTGGGAAGGTGTGTGGGGGAAGCAGGAGGGCCAGGGGTGTGGTGTGTGTCAGGTTGGGTGGGGGCGTGGGGCCCAGGTCCCTCACGGCCTCCCTCCTCCTAGGAGGTGGAGCTCATCACCAGGTTCCTCCCGATGCTCATGTCCTTCCTGGTAGATGACTACACTTTCAATGTGGATCAGAAACTTCCGGCTGAGGAGAAAGCCGCAGTCTCGTATCCAAACACACTTCCTGAAAGCTTTACTAAGTACGGGCTGCGGGGCCGAGGGGCAGGGGTGGCACTGTTCCCTGGGGCTGCTGCAGGGTTGGTCGGGGGTTGACCTGGGGGCTGACGTGGGGCTGACGGCGCCCTGGGCACAGGTTTCTGCAGGAGCAGCGCATGGCCTGCGAGGTGGGGCTGTACTACGTCCTGCACATCACCAAGCAGAGGAATAAGAACGCGCTCCTCCGCCTGCTGCCAGGGCTGGGTGAGTGCTGACCGCCGGGGCTGGTGAGTGCTGACTGGTGGTGCCTGGCACGCCCTCCCTGTGGCAGTTGCCGTGTGTGATCCCGCCCAGGGTGCAGTCCCAGGCCCCCAGGAGCTGCCGTCTCCCCAGCTCACCTCCAACTTTGCTAGATTTGTTTTCACTTTTTTTTTTTTTTTGAGGCAGAGTCTCGCTTTTTCGCCCAGGCTGGAGTGCAGTGGCACAGTCTTGGCTCACTGCAATGTCAGGCTCCTGGGTTCCTCGGCCTCCTGAGTAGCTGGGATTACAGGTGCCCGCCACCACACCGGCGAACTGTTGTATTTCTGGTAGAAACGGGGTTTTACCATATTGGTCAGGCTGGTCTCCAACTCCTGACCTTGTGATCCACCTGCCTTGGCCTCCCAAAGTGCTGGGATTACAGGCGTGAGTGTCTGTGCCTGGCCTTGTTTTCACTTACATTTTGTCTGCAGTCTGTTTTACTAGGAAAGGGAGAGAGAGTTCAACTTTGTACTTTCCAACAAAAAGGTGATGTAAGAGCCATCTTTATTTTCTCCAGACTGGCAGGTGGCGTGGGGCCCCCCGGTGCTCAGAGGAGAGAGGGAGGGGGAGGCAGGGAGAGTGCCTGCCTCGGTTCCCCACCCCAGGCGGTGACGGGCCCTCTGCCCTCGGGAGCCTCCTAGGGGAGAGTTGTTGCAAGCTAGGACGAAGAGGACGGGTCCAAATGGCCACCTTCAGGAGTAGAGCTGCAGGTCCCGTGGGGGAGATGGGGCCACTCTGGCCGTGTGGCCCCCCCGCAGCTGCGACACGGACCCTGGGCCCTTTCCTGCTGACTCGGGCCTTGTCTGGGGTTTGCCGACTTAACTCACCTTGTGCTGCTCTAACAGAGACTCCAGACGGAGCAATTTAGAAAGAGCCGGGATGGTGGGCGCAGTGGCTCAGGCCTCAAATCCCAGCACTTTCGGAGGCCAATGCAGGCGAATCACGAGGTCAGGAGTTGGAGACCAGCCTGGCCAACATGGTGAAACCTCATGTACAAAAAAGTACAAAAATTAGCCGGGCACCGTGGCAGGTGCCTCTAGTCGCAGCCACTTGGGAGGTTGAGGCAGGAGAATCACTTGAACCGGGAGGTGGAGGCTACTGTGAGCTGAGATCGCACCACTGCACTCCAGCCTGGGTGACGGAGCGAGCCTGTCTTGAAAAAAAAGCAGGGACTCAGCTGGGCGCAGTGGCTCACGCCTGTAATCCCAACACTTTGGGAGGCTGAGGTGGGTGGATCACGAGGTCAAGAGATCGAGACCATCCTAATCAACATGGTGAAACCTCATCTCTACTAAAAATACAAAAAATTAGCTGGGCATGGTGGCGCGTGCCTGTAATCCCAGCTACCCGGGAGGCTGAGGCAGGAGAATTGCCTGAACCCAGGAGGCGGAGGTTGCGGTGAGCCAAGATGGCGCCATTGCACTCCAGCCTGGGTAAACAAGAGCGAAACTCTGTCTCAAAAAAAAAAAAAAAAAGCAGGGCCTTCTCACAGTTCTGCAGGCTGGGAAGTCAGGGGTCTGTATCTGGCATGGGCTTTTTCTTGCGTCATCCCATGGGATGGCCAGGCAGGACAGCACGGGCAAGGGAGACAGCCAGATGCAGAGCCAGACAGGAGAGACAGACACACAGACCCAGAGGAGAGACACGGAGGAGAGACAGAGATAGCCAGACGCAAAGCCAGACAGGAGAGACAAAGACACACAGACGCAGATGGAGAGACACAGAGACACATAGACTGAGATGACACACACAGAGATGAGTGACAGAGACACAGACTGAGATGAGAGATGCAGAGCCAGAGCCAGATGCAGAGCCAGACAGGAGAGAGACACACACAGATGAGAGACGCAGAGGAGGGACAGACACAGACCCAGAGGAGAGACGCAGAGACAGAGACAGACGCAGAGCCAGAGAGGAGAGACAGAGACACACAGAGATGAGAGACAGAGATACACAGACCCAGATGAGAGACACAGAGACAGACACACAGAGAGGAGAGAGAGACACATAGATGAGAGACACTGACACAGAGACAAGAGACAGACGCAGAGCCAGAGAGGAGAGACAGAGACACACAGACCCAGATGAGAGACAGACAGCAGAGACTGACAGATGAGAGACAAAGATGAGGGAGAGAGACAGACAAGAGACAGAGGCAGCTAGAGATGAGACAGAGATGGAGACAGAAGGGGCCAAGCTTCCCCTTTTCTCAGGAGCACACTCCTGTGGTAACAGCATGAAGCCTTTGGCAGGGGGAGCCCTCACGACCTCAGCGGTGTTGCCTTGGGGATCAGGTTTCAGCAGTGACTGGGGCCACGTCCATGCCACGCGCGTGCCAAATGTGCTTCTCGTGGCTGGTGCATGTGTGAGGACAGTGGGTACATGTGTTTTCCAGCTCTTTTTTTTTTTTTTTTTTTTGGAGACGGGGCCTCGCTCTGTCACCCAGGCTGGAGTGCAGTGGCGCGATCTCAGCTCACCATGACCTCCGCCTTCCGGGTTCGAGCAATTCTCCTGCCTCAGCCTCCCAAGTAGTTGGGACTACAGGCACGCACCACCATGCCCAGCTAATTTTTTGTATTTTTAGTGGAGACCTGGTTTCACTGTGTTGGCCAGGCTGGTCTCGATCTCCTGACTTCGTGACCCACCCACCTCAGCCACCCAAGGTTAGCCACGGTGCCCAGCCACGTTTTCCGGCTTTCTTTGTGGGAGAAGCTGCCTATGGGTATTAACCTGGCCCCAGCCACCCTCTCACTGAGCTTGGGTGGCTTGGGTGTGGGTTTCCCGTTGCTGCTGGGGTGAGTGATCACAGACAGTGGCATCAGACGACATAGGTAGGTGTGACCTAACAAAGCCTCACGGGCTTACGGGGGGCCGGTACTGCTGCTCCTTGAGGCTCCAGCAGGCGCGTGAAGGTGTCGGGACGTTGCGCTGTGGCCGCCGGCAGAGCCGGCTTGTTTATTTCTGAGACTTCCGGGAACACAGTTATAAATAACTTGGGTTTGCCTTGGCCTTTCTGTCCACTGCAAGACAGTCACATGTCACATAATGTTCTGTCAACTGTGGACCACATAGGCAGCCGCGCAGTCACATCAGCTGACGGTACTGTATTTTCACCCTGCCTTCTCCGTTTAGGTACACAGTCACTTAGCATGGTGTCCCGGCGGCTCCCGGTCCTCGGTGCAGCCACATGCTGCTCAGGCGTGTAGCTCGGGGGCGAGGCCGTGGCCCAGCGCAGGTGTGCAGTAGGCGGCACCTGCTGGACGTGTGTCAGTTAGTCACCCTGCGGAGTCTGCACGACAGTCACTTGGGAGGCCCTCCCTATGCCTGCACTTCCATTTCTCTCATTTGATTGTGGCTAGAAACGGGCTGAGAACCAGGAGTGCAGCTTTCCCTCAGCTCACGCAGCTGCCCCCGGGCAGGGATGTGCATTTTCAGTCACGTTTGGGGAGAGCACGCTTGTTCTTAGGTTTTTAGTGCGTTCTAGTAAGAATGGATGTTGATTTTTGGAATTCTCTCCTCTCCTGTTTATTTTATTGTTGTTATTTGAGACAGAGTCTCGCTCTGTCGCCTGCTGGAGAGCAGTGGCACCATCTCAGCTCACCGCAACCTCCACCTCCCGGGATCAAGCGATTCTCCTGCCTCAGCCTCCTGAGTAGCTGGGACTACAGGCGTGTGCTACCACACCCAACTAATTTTTATTTTTAGTAGAGACAGGGTTTCACCATGTTGGCCAGGATGGTCTCCACCTCTCTTCACCTTGTGATCTGCCCACCTCTGCCTCTGCCTCCCAAAGGGCTGAGATTACAGGCATGAGTCACTGTGTCCGGCCTATTTTTTAACATTTTGTTGTGGAAATTTGTGAAAGAATATAAACTGGGTACAGTGAGGACCCAGCATCGTCTCCAGCCTCCCCGGGGTCCGCGTGTGGCCACCTGTCCCTCAGGCTGATGTCTGGGTGTGAGTCTGAGACATCACAGCATGCAGGCTCCAGCCTCAGGCATCTCTGCAAAGGCAGGGAGATCACCTGAGGTCAGGAGTTCCAGACCAGCCTGGCCAACATGGTAAAACCCCGTCTCTACTAAAAATACAAAATTAGCCGGGCGTGGTGGCAGGCACCTGTAGTCCCAGCCACTCGGGAGTCTGAGGAGGAAGAATCATTGGAACCCAGGAAGCAGAGGTTGCAGTGAGCTGAGATTGCACCACTGCACTCCAGCCTAGTCAACAGAGCAAGATGCTTTCTCAAAAGAGTGCCTTTAAATGTCTTTAAAAAGCAGGCACTGGCCGGGCACGGCAGCTCACTTTGTAATCCCAGCACCTTGGGAGGCCAAGGCAGGTGGATCTCCTGGGGTCAGGAGTTCCAGACCAGCCTGGCCAACATGGTGAAACCCCGTCTCTACTAAAAATACAAAAATTAGCCAGGCGTGGTTGTGGGTGCCTGTAGTCCCAACTACTCGAGGGGCTGAGGCAGGAGAATTGCTTGAACCCAGGAGGTGGAGGTTGCAGTGAGCTGAGATTGAACCATTGCACTCCAGCCTGGGCGACAGAGTAAGACTCCTCAAGAAAAAAAAAAAATAGTGACCACAGACAACAGACCACTGTCACAGCTGAGCTGGGCTCACTGGTGCCCCTCTGCTGACTGGCTGTGGCTGCCCCTCTCCAGGTGTCTCCACTGCTGCGTGGAGAGTCCCGTCAGGGTTGGGAGGTGCCTGTTTCCTCTGCTGTCTCAGTTTCGGGTTCCCCAGAGTTGCAGGAATCAGGGCATTTGCCGGGTGGGGCCTGGCTGCTGTGTCCCCTGGTCATGACTGCCTGCCACGTGTCCTGTGACCACCTGGCCATGTGGCTGGCCAAGGCCCTTGGAGGCAGGCAGGCACCTTGGGGGCCTGGGTCTTCTGGAAACATTCTGGTCACTCTCTGGACGCAGGTGATGCCAGCTGGGTCTGTCCTCAGAAAGGCCCCATCCGGGGTGCTGGGAAGGCCACCTACTCCTGTCCGCACATAGCACCTCTGTGCAACCTGGCCGCAGCTCTGTCCGGCATCATTCCACCGGCATGGGTCCGCGGGCGGCCACCCTCCCTGCGGGCGCTGCATGTGGCATAGGGCCTGCGATTTGCTCTTGGCAAGTGTCTGCCGTGCTCCGTGGCTTCTGTGCTGTGATGGCGGGTGAGGCGTCCGGGGGCCTGCCAGGCGTCTTTGTTGTGTTTTGGTGTCTGGCTACAACAGAGAATGTGGAAGTTTTTCTTGGTTCTTTCCTGTGCACCATGTGGCTGGTGGTCTGGGGGGACCAGCCAGACCTGGTTACGTCGTGTCCCCCCTGGGCCCCGCCACTGGCTGCGCCTTTTGGGATAGAGGAGCACCTTGTTTTTCTGTCTCCTCCCCTGTCCCTGTCCACCTCCCACCTCCTCACCTGCTGGACCCTGTGCTTCTCACCTCAGAACAACTGAGAACCCCCATGTGAGCACCCCCAGAAGTGGGTGCTGAGGTCTCAGGACAAAGGTGCCCGCTCTGGGGTGGCTGGGCAGGGTGGGTGGTGCTGGGCTGATGCCTGCTGTGTCTGCAGTGGAGACCTTCGGCGACTTGGCCTTTGGCGACATCTTCCTCCACCTGCTTACGGGCAGCCTGGCGCTGCTGGCGGACGAGTTTGCCCTGGAGGACTTCTGCAGCAGCCTCTTCGATGGCTTCTTCCTCACCGCCTCGCCCAGGTAGGCCTGCTCTGCCACTCTGCCCCTGTCTGCGGCAGCCTGAGGTGGCCGCCGTCCCCCTCCTGGGGGTGGGGTTTGCAGGTGGGTTTGCTGGGCACAGCTGGGGAGGGTCCAAGGGCTGGTCCTGGCCTGTCTCCAGGGGTCTCGCCCACCTGCAGCTGGGCTGGGCCTGGGGGGACAGCAGGGCCGCCTCACGCCCCAACCCCAGTGGCCTTTCCCAGGAAGGAGAACGTGCAGCGGCACGCCCTGCGGCTCCTCATTCACCTGCACCCCAGGGTGGCCCCATCGAAGCTGGAAGCCTTGCAGAAGGCCCTGGAGCCTACAGGCCAGGTGGGTGCCTAGGGGCTCCCAGCCGAGGGTGTGCTCACCACACTGCCCTCGGGGTCCTGTGGGTGCCCGCCCCTGCTCCTGCGCCCGCCCCTGCACCTCACCCGCCTCATGGCTGTGGTTCCCGCAGAGTGGAGAGGCTGTGAAGGAGCTTTACTCTCAGCTTGGCGAGAAGCTGGAGCAGCTGGACCACCGGAAGCCCAGCCCGGCGCAGGCGGCGGAGACGCCCGCCCTGGAGCTGCCCCTCCCCAGCGTGCCTGCCCCTACCCCACTCTGAGGCTCCCCCAGGGAAGCTTGGTGCTGGGGCCCTGCTGAGTCACAGCCATGGTCAGCCAGAAGGGACTCTCGGACCTGGGTGTGCAGGGCAGTCCCCCCTCCCGGGGCTGTGGCCAGGCCTGTCCTGTGGTCATGGCCCCCCCTCCTGCTCCCTGGAGCCGGGTCCGGGACTGGCCTGCCATCCACGCGGCAGCTCCCAGGGCACTGCCTCTCCTTGTACTTTCACAGCCATAGAAAGTGTGGTCATCTTCCATTTTCCTGGGTTAGGAAAAACCCACCTGTTTTCCAAGGGGAGAGGGTGGGGCCGGAGGGTGGGGCGCAGCCTCTGTTTTGGCCCAGCCTGGCCAAGGTGAGGCACACTGCTTTCCACCCTGGGGTGGTGGAGATGGAGCTGGGACCTCATGGAGGTCATGGGCAGCAACCAGGCCTGTGCCATGGCGCGTGTCCCGGGTCCTGTGCGGAGGGAGCCACCTCACTCTGCAGCCCCAGGTGCCCCATGGCCTATTGAGCCACATTGCTGCCTTCAATGGCCGCTACCGGGCCAGCTGGGCACACAGGGAGATTTTATGTAAATAAAAGGCATTTTCGTAAACCTGGCGGCTGAGGTGTCTTTGCCTGCCCTGGGGTTGGGTACAGCTCCGGCAGAGGCAGGCATCTGTGCTGCGGAGTTGATCCGTGCAGCCTTAGGGGCCAGAGTGCCTCTGGGCTGCTCAGCCCTGCCTGTGACCAGCAGCCGTGGGTGGCGATGAATTTCTGGAGGAGGCTGACGGGAAGCCCCACCCGAGGGCTTGGTGCCCTGAGACAGACCAGCTGCTTTGTTTCTGTCCTGCGATTCCAGGGGGCACCCCTCGCCCCGCCACATGCACCAGGGACAGGAGCCCTGGAGGCCCAGGATGCACCACAGTTAGATAGCCGGGACCATTCCCAGCAGATGAGGTTCAGCTGGGCAGCAGTGGGACCTGTGTGTATGGGAGCCTCTGAGCCGGTCTCCTCAGGGACAGGGCCAGCAAGACATGGGACTCTTGCACCTATGCAGACCTGCACAGCGCTCATGGTCTACACTGCCAGACCTGTGCCTCAGTTTACCTGATCATGTCTTTCCCAGAGTCCAGGGCAGGCAAAGTCCTAGGCTGAAAGCTCTTGTGGGAGCTGGGGACCCAGGTGGGGCTGGGCGTCCGAGGCTGGTCTGGCTGGTGGGTGGTGCTCGAGGGTCCTCCATGTGATCTGGAGGCGGAGCAGGAGTTCCAGGTAGGCTGGAAGGACGTGTGAGCCACAGAGGCGTCTCGGAGGGCCCAGGGCTTTGAACCTGCCCAGGTGGGCTGCCATGGGAAGATGAAGGGCTTGGGGTACCCCAGAGGCCTGTCTGACAGGCATGTGCAGTGGGTTTATGGGTGTGGGTCTGGATGCTGCTGTGGTTAGTGGTGTTTGAGCTGCTGACTGGGCCAGATCAGCCCAAGTGAGGGTGAGCAGCCATGTGCTCTGGGTGGGCGCACCTGGCAGCAGAGCGGGTGCCCTGCAGCCCAGGGAGGAGGGGTCGGGAGACCCAGCTGAGGCGCTATGGATGGGATGAAGGCCAGGTCGGGCTGGGAATGTGGGGTTTTTCTTTTTTGAGACAGTCTTGCTCTGTTGCCCAGGCTGGAGTGCAGTGGTGCGACCTTGGCTCACTGCAACCTCTGCCTCCCAGGTTTAAGTGATTCTCCTGCCTCAGCCTCCCAAGTAGCTGGGACTACAGATGCCTGTTGCCACACCCAGCTAATTTTTTTTTTTTTTTTTTAGTAGAGACAGGGTTTCACCATGTTAGCCAGGCGGGTCTTGATCTCCTGACCTCGTGATCTGCCTGCCTCAGCCTCCCAGCATGCTGGGATTACAAGCGTGAGGCACCGTGCCTGGCTTGGCTTTTTTTTTTTTTTTGAGACGGGAGTTTCGCTCTTGTTACCCAGGCTGGAGTGCAATGGCACGATCTCGGCTCACCGCAACCTCCGCCTCCTGGGTTCAGGCAATTCTCCTGCCTCAGCCTCCTGAGTAGCTGGGACTACAGGCACGCGCCACCATGCCCAGCTAATTTTTTGTATATTTAGTAGAGACGGGGTTTCACCATGTTGACCAGGATGGTCTCGATCTCTTGACCTCGTGATCCACCCGCCTCGGCCTCCCAAAGTGCTGGGATTACAGGCTTGAGCCACCGCGCCCGGCTTTTTTTTTTTTTTTTCCAAGATTGAAGATTAATGCACTGAGGGCCAAAAAAGAAAAAGAAAAATTAAAAAAAAAAAAAAAAAAAGAAGAAGTACATGTTTTGGGGCTGATAGGACTGACCCAGCAGAGTGAGGAGTGGACGGTGGGCGGGGGCTGGGCTGTCACTGAGGGAGGCGGCAGTGGGGTCTCGGCCAAGTGGGGCATCCTCAGAAGAGGGCTGGTGGACACAGACGCTGGGGGGACGCTGGGGAGACTCGGGGAGCCCCTTACCACTGCTTCCATCTCTCAGGTCTTCAGCTGGGAGGCAGAAGGGGGAGGAGGTGGCGAGGACTTGGCTTCGGTGAAGGGACCCGGATGCTGACGGTTGGCAGCGGGCAGGTCCTGCCCAGGGCACCTGCAGGGGGTGCAAGGCCCACGGGTGGGGACGGAGGACCAGAGACTGAGGAGCCTGTGGGTGAGGAGCTGGTGAGGTAAGGGGTGTGAGCCGCAGGAAGGTGCTGGAGCTGGAAGTGGACAGCTGAGCCTCGGGGTGCGTGGTTACTGCAGTGACAGCATCAGGGGCAGGAAGAGCCGAGCTGCCTGAGTGCCTGGGTGTGGACGCCGCTGGGAAGTGAGGGGGAAAGACCTGGGGGGGAGGACCGAGGGCCCCGGCATCGGTGGGCGGCATCCTCTGGTGAGGTGAGCACCTGTGGGGAGTTTGTCAGGAGAGCGGGGAGGGCGCCAGCAGACTGGGGAAGCAGTGAGGCGAAGCCCTTCCAGAAGCGGAGAACATGCAGGCTGTTTGGGTGGCAGACGTCAACTCCTGGGTGACGCCGCAGGGCCGAGCTGGGCAGGGAGGTAGGAGGAGGGGCTTCCTGGAATGGGGATGTTCGTGTGGTGGGCATGGCCCTGGGCATCACAGGAGATGGTGATGCCGGAGCTGGGGTTCCGGGGCTCCCTTCATCCCTGCAGAAGGGAGAAGGTGCAGGTGGGGAGAGGCCTTGGCCCAGGGCTCCAATTCACCTTTGAGCCACAGGGCTGTGTCCTGGAGTGAGTCTCTTCTGCAGAGGGCTCTGGCCTGAGGGTTTCTGGGCCAGCCTCTGGCAGCAGCAGCTGCAGCCTTGGTGGCTTGGAGGAGGGCTGAGGGTTGCTGCAGGACTTCCAGGGCCCAGCCAGCCTGCAGCTGCCAGTCAACAGCCTCTCCCTCAGGATCCTCCCTGTGTCAGAAGCAGCACCGAGACTCAAAGCCTGAGGCCCATGAGACCCCAACCTCCGTGTTGGGGCCACAGGGCCTGGACAGCCAACCTTCTTCTGCTCTGGTCCCGCAGATGCTGGAGTGAGGGCCACCGGCCGCAGGAAGAGCACAGGCGTTCCACGGGGCGTGTGCCGCACCCTCAGCCTTGGCATCAGGGATGGGGCCCCTCAGTACCCCCTGCACAGGGGAGGGGCAGCAGGTTCCCGAATCCCAGGCCTGGCTCCTGGCAGGGAGCGTGACAGGCCCGTGGACCCCATGCCCTGGAGAGAATGGAACCCCCAGCCCACAACCTATGTTTCCTGATGCACTCGCTCTGCGTGAGGAATACACAGCTGTGGAACCCATCAGGCCCAGGCTGGCCGTCGTGGGGAGTGGGGCGTTCCTGGGGCTGCGGGACCTGAGATGAAGGCCCAGAGCACTGGTGTGGCTGAGTGGCCACTGTGTCCCTCCTGGGAAGGCGGCTTCCAGGCTGGGCCAGAGTGGGAGGAGTCAAGGGTGGTCTGGGCCGGCCTGTTGGTGGGAGGAGCCCTGTGGCCCGGGGAAGGGCCGGAGCTCTGGCTCCTGGCTCAAGTTCTTTCTAAATTTGTTGCCCAACCCCCACAGGGACCCTGAGTCACATGTGTGTTTTTTTTTTTTTTTTTTTTTTTTTTTTTTTTTTTGAGACGGAGTTTCACTCTTGTTACCCAGGCTGGAGTGCAATGGCGCGATCTCGGCTCACCGCGACCTCCGCCTCCTGGGTTCAGGCAATTCTCCTGCCTCAGCCTCCTGAGTAGCTGGGATTACAGGCACGTGCCACCATGCCCAGCTAATTTTTTGTATTTTTAGTAGAGACGGGGTTTCACCATGTTGACCAGGATGGTCTCGATCTCTCGACCTCGTGATCCACCCGCCTCAGCCTCCCAAAGTGCTGGGATTACAGGCTTGAGCCACCGCGCCCGGCTACATGTGGTTTTTTTCTGATAGACCTTCTGTCCCAGGGTGTGCTGCCTATCCGGGCGCGGGGCTCCAGGGTGGGGACAGACGAAGCGGGGAGGGAAGGAAAATGATCTCTCCTCTGGGGGATCCAGATTGGGGTCAGGAGGGGACGGAAAAAGGGGAGAGGAGGATCAGAGAAGGATTCGGGGCCTGAAGCTGGGCAGAGGACCCTGCCCGCCCTCGCTGCTGCTGCCCTGCTGGAGCCCCTCCCCCCAGCTGTAGGCCCCGCGTGGAGGTGCCAGGTGGAAGGGGGGGGCCTGGAGGACAGGCTGAGGTGCAGGAGCCGAGGACGGGGCGGGGCGGGGCTTGCAGGAGGGGCCCGCGGCTTCACCAGGTGTCCTGAGCCTGACCAAGCCAGGAGGGCTCCAGAAGGGATGTGACCTCCGTCAGGGGATCCGCGCGAGCCGGCCAGGCCTCCCCCTCTGGCGCCTCTGTCCAGCCCCAGTCCCGCCTGGGCCGCACCCCCTGACTCACTTCCTTTGCATAGAAGCGGAAACCTCCCTGGAGCTTCCTCCGCTCCGGCCGCTCCCTGGGGACCCGCAGGTGTCGCTGCCCCTCGGGCCGGAGCCGGCCCCGGAAGCCCCCGGCCCACCCCCTAGCCCTGGGAGGTGCATTTCCTGCCCGGAGCCTTAGGCCCGGCGTCCGGCACAGGCGGGGGCTGCGGAGCTGGGGGCGGCGGACCAGCTGCAGGTAGGGGGTGGGCCGGGGCCCGGGGCGCAGGGCGCAGGGCGCAGGCTGGTTCCTGCCAGGCAGCGGCTCTTGCTCCGCCCCGGCTTTTGTTTCTGTCGGTCTTTCCACCTCACCTCCAGCGGCCTCGGGGTTGCCCGTGCTGCTCTGCTGCTTCACTCGAGGGCTGTTGGGAGGACCCCAGTTTTGGAACGGGGCTGGGAGGCCTGGGCTGAGCCTGGGGACGGGGCTGGGCCTGTTCTGAAAATCCTAAGCTCCGGCCAGACCCCCAACACGTGTTCGGGAGCCTGTGGGGGCGCCTCTGACTCCCGGGGCGCTCAGGCCTCTGCTCCCCGCGGCCCCTCCTTGGGAGACGCCCGGTCCAGTCGGAGCGGCGGGCGGGGGCAGGGGCCGGTGTGACTGTCCTTCACCCCAGTGGGCGCCTGGTCGGCCACTGACTTCTCCGACTCCTCCTCCAGGAAGCCGAGGCGGCCACTAGATAAGCCTCCAGCCCTCCACTTCCTCAAGGCTCGAGGCCGTTTATGGGAGGATCCGAGAGATTTGCATCGGGGCCCCACGGAAGGGCCGCTTCCCGGTCGGAGGGGCGAGGCCGCGACCGAGCCCTGGCCCTGGCCCTGGCCCTGGCCCTGGGGCAGCCCAGGCCGCACCCCCACGGGACTCCCAGGGGTGAGGTCAGTCCCGGGAACGGTTCCCGCGGGAGAGGGCGGTGGCGGGAGTTCGGAGACCCTCCCCGTCTTCCCGTTGCAGGGAGGGCGACCTGGATGCGGAGCGCCGTTCCTGTGCCATGGACCGCGGCCCGCCCAGCCTGGAGCCTGCTGCCGCGGCTCCCGGAACCTCGGGCCGGTGCGTGATCGCGCCCGTGCGCGCCGTGCTCCGCCTGCGCCGCCGCGTGTGTGTCCTGCGCAAGCGGCGCCTCCTGCAGCCGGGTGGGGGGCCCGATGTCGGGACCGGGACGCCCAGGCCGGGCTGCAGCTCCCCGGCGCTGCGCGCGGACGCGGACCAGCCGCAGTTCTTCACCTTCGACGGCCCTGCCGAGCTGTCCTCCAGGACACCACGCAAGAGGCGCCGGCGCAGCCGCTTGGTGCTTTACCCGGAGACCTCGCGCAAGTATCGGCCGCGCGTGGAGCACAGGAGCCGCGCGCAGCGCTGCTTGCTGTTGCTGGTCGCCATCGTGGGCTTCCAGGTACTCAACGCCATCGAGAACCTGGACGACAACGCGCAACGCTACGACCTCGACGGGCTGGAAAAGGCGCTGCAGCGCGCGGTGTTCGGCCAGCCGGCCGCCGTGGCGCGCATCGTGGCGCTGATGCGGGACTACCTGGCCACGCACGTGCACAGTCGTCCGCTCCTCCTGGCGCTGCACGGGCCCAGTGGCGTGGGCAAGAGCCACGTGGGCCGCCTGCTGGCGCGCCACTTCCGCGCGGTGCTGGAGGACGACGGCGCGCTCGTGCTGCAGTACCACGCGCGGCACCACTGCCCCGAGGCGCGCGCCGCACAGGACTGCCGCGAGGAGCTGGCGCGGCGCGTGGCCGACGTGGTGGCGCGGGCCGAGGCGGAGGAAAAGACCCCGCTCCTGGTGCTGGACGACGTGGAGCTCATGCCGCGGCCGCTGCTGGACGAGCTGCACGGCTTCCTGCAGCCGCAGCGCCCGCACCACTTCCACAACGCCATCTACGTGCTGCTCAGCGGCGCGGGCGGCGCCGAGGTCACACGCTTCGTGCTGCAGAACGCGTCCCGCGCGCTGCCCCTGCGCCCCGACGGCGCCCGCGGTGCCCAGGCCGAGGCGGCGCGGGCGGACGAGGACTTGCGCGCCAGCTTGCAGGCGCTGCTGTCCCGGGGGCACCCGCTGTGGGAGGCCGCGGCCGTCGTGCCGTTTCTTCTGCTGGACAAGCGGGACGTGGTCAGCTGCTTCCGCGACGAGATGGCGGGCGAGGGCTTCTTTCCCGATCAGGCCCGCGCGGAGCGTCTGGCCGCGCAGCTCAGCTTCTACCAAGTGGCTGGCCGCGAGTTCGCTGTGACCGGCTGCAAGCAGGTGGTGGCCACGGTGAATCTCCTGTAGTGGAGGCGCAGGACGGGACGTTTGTGTTGACGGCAGCAGTGGACGGGTGACCAGGGACCCTGTGGGCTGGCGCAGGCCCCTGAGGCGTCCAGCGACTTTGTGGCTGCCAGGTTCAGGGGTGCGTCCGCTCAGAGCTCTACCTCCAGGTCCGCACCCGCCTCAGAGCCGCAGGAGAGCAGCCCCCTCCCTCGTGAACGCGCCCATTCCCCTGCTGGGGGTCCCAGGCATGGTCTGGTGGGTTCTGTTTGGTCGCAGGAGGTGGGGGCTGGGTTCCCATGGTACGAGGATGACCTGAGGGCCAGCAGCTCCCAGGGTCACACAGCTGGGGCCCACCTTGCCTCGGGGGGATGGCTGTGGGTAGGCAGCCCCCCCCACGCTCGGTGCTGGGGTGGGGCTCTCATCCCCGCCACCCTGGAGATGAGCACAGAGGAGGCTGCAGCGAACCACGACAGTGCTGGGGTCCCGCTGTCTTCTCCCACCCCACCCCTCACTCAGGTCGTGTTTTCAGCAGCTCAAGGCTTGCACGACTTGACCCGAAGGCCGGGGGCCTCAGACAGCCTCTCTCCTCCTTCCCAGAGCCCCCGACCCTGTGCCGCCAGCTCTGGCTTGGGCTCACTGGGTGACCGAGAGCCCGCGGGGCAAGCAGGAGGTGCCCAGGCCTCCGCCCATTCATCTCCTCAGCCCGTGGTCACCACGACTGCGTGACCCCCCTTCCCTGTGGCCTTTTGTGCCCTGAGTTCCGCCCACCCGCGCCCTCCCCACGCCTGTCGACCCCACACCCCACAGCTCCCCACGCTCCGCCTCTCGGAAGCCCTCCTGGACTTTTCCGGGAGACCGGCTCCCCACGTCCATGGGAGCTTTAGAGGAAGGTGCTTTGGGTGCTTTCTGTGCCATGTCTCCTTGGGGGCGGCGGTTGCCCCGGAACGGTTCTCGCCTCCTCCCGCAGCCCAGGTGCCTGGGACGCACCGGCAGCCTCAGTGGCGCACCTGGCCCAGCCTGCGGAGCCGCCTAGCTCGTGGCATCTGTGGTTGCAGGGGCTGAACGCGCACCTGGGCCCGGAGTCCCCCAGGCCGCCCCAAGCCCCTGTCCCCGCCGCCGGCCCCGCAGCGGTTCCGGCTGGGAGGAGCGCGCGGGCGCCGGGACCCGCCCTGAGGGGCTCAGAGGGCGGCGAAGTTGTTTCACGCCCGTGTGGGGCGCGGCCGAGTGGGGTCCCCGCAAAGGCGGAGGCGGCGCCGCGCCAGGAGCCCAGAGTCCAGCGCACTCGGCGCGCGCCCCAGCGAGTGGGAATCCCCCGCATGCGCGCGCATCCCCGGCCCTGAGGCCTCAACTCCGTCCGGAGACCGCGCCCGCCCCCGCCCCCGCCGCTGTCTGTGGAGAGGCCCCGCAGGTCTTTCGGCGGGTGTCCCGCTCTCCCCCGCCCCTTCTCGCCCTGGCGGTTGGTGTCTGTGGTCTGGGGCGAGGGCCGTGTCACGGAGCCGGGGATTCGGGCCCCTTGAAATCTGGGGTCTCCGGGCGGATGGCGGCGGCTCCCCCCGGCTCAGCACGCAGGTCCGGGGCCCAGGGCGGAGGCCGACGCGTCCTGTCGAGGGGCCCGAGGACTCCTGCGGCTCTCGGGCTCCTGGAGTTTGGGGAGGCATCTGGGTCCGCGGGGTGCGGCTGGGGCTTCCAGGAACCTTTGTCTCCTGGGGCCCTGCGGACCCGCTGGCCATCTCTGGGAGCTTGGTCCCGCCCACCCCCAGGGCTGCGCAGCCGGGGGGAAGGAGCTCCTCCAGGAGGGTGGCTGTCCCGGGAGCCCACACAGAGGGGCGCCCAGCTCTGGTCTGGCCTTCGTGTTGGCTTCAAGGTCATAACAGAGCTGCCGAGTGGGGGGCGTGTGTGCCAGTCCCTGCATGGGTGAATGTTGGGGTGCTCACCACTCCCCAGACCTGTCACCTCCTCCTCCCACAGAGCACCCACCTGGAGGCGTCACCTGCCGGGCAAGCGTGGGCCGTTCATCCACCCTTCAGTCAACAACACCCACCCATCCAGCACCCGCTTGTATCAAAAGGTCCAAATCTCAGGGGAAGTTTTCCTTCCTCTCTCCCTCTTTCTTTCCTGGCGCCATCTCGCCTCACTGCAACCTCCGCCTCCCGGGTTCGAGGGATTCTCCTGCCTCAGCCTCCCGAATAGCTGGGATTACAGGTGCCCACCACCATGCCCAGCTAATTTTTTCAATTTTTAGTAGAGATGGGGTTTCACTGTGTTGGCCAGGCTGGTCTCGAACTCCTGACTTCGTGATGCTCCTGCCTCGGCCTCCCAAAGTGCTGGGATTGCAGCCGTCAGCCACTGAGCGGCCTCTTTTTTTTTTTTTTTTTTTTTGAGATGGAATTTTGTTCTTGTTACCCAGGCTGGAGTGCAATGGCCCGATCTCGGCTCACCGCAACCTCCGCCTCCTGGGTTCAAGCAATTCTCCTGCCTCAGCCTCCTGAGTAGCTGGGATTACAGGCACACGCCACCATGCCCAGCTAATTTTTAGTGTTTTTAGTAGAGACGGGGTTTCACCATGTTGACCAGGATGGTCTCGATCTCTTAACCTCGTGATCCACCTGCCTCAGCCTCCCAAAGTGCTGGGATTACAGGCTTGAGCCACCGCGCCCGGCCAGCCTCTTTTTAATTTATTTCTAAAATGTTACAATTGAGGCCAATTCTTGTGCTTTAGAAGAATGTGCCCCCAGCACTGGTTATAAACGAGGCCAGAAATCATGCTTGTTAATAAACTGTGTGGTTCAAATCTGACAACCTCCTGTTTGATTTGCTTTTTTGCCTTCGTGGTCTGATGATAATTGAGGATGCTGGTGTCTTTCCCTAATTGTAGATTTGTGGTAGGTTTATCACTTTCTCTCTAAGCTTCCATTTAGCAGGCCGCAGTGATTGGGGGCTTTGTTTTGCTTTTTGTTTGAGACACTTCTGATGGGGAAGTGCTGTGGATGTGGAAGTTGATGGAAGGAGTGGAAATCACATGCATTCTGCAGCTCGAACCTCCAGGCTTTCCAGGAAACCCATAAATAACTAAAAGAGCATTTTCCTTAATTGCCCTGGACAGGTGCTGGGGGCAGATGGTCCAGGCTGGACGTGTGGGAAGCTGCCAGCTAACCCGGTTCTTCCACACACCCTAGCTGCTCTCCTCATACGTCCTATGCCCTTTCTGTGCAGTTGTCTTGAGTTATTATTTGACATCTGCCATGCATCCTTACGTAGTAACCCTTGTGATCTGTGTGTGCACATAATAATGGCTTTTTTTTTTTTTTCTTTTGAGACTCAGTTTCATTCTGTCATCCAGGCTGGAGCACAGTGGCACGATCTCCAGTCACTGCAACCTACGCCTCCCAGGTTTAAGTGATTCTCCCACCTCAGCCTTTCAAGTAGCTGGGATTACAGATACCCACCACCACCTCCAGCTAATTTTTGTATTTTTAGTAGGGGCGGGGTTTCACCACGTTGACCAAGCTGGTCTTGAACTCCTGACCTCAGGTGATCCACCTGCCTCAGCCTCCCAAAGTGCTGGGATTACAGGTGTAAGCCACCGCACCTGCCCTCCTTTTTTCTTTTAATAGAGACCAGGCTGGCCACACGAGGTGGCTCACACCTATAATCCCAGCACTTTGGGAGACTGAGATGGGCAGATCACAAGGTCAGGGATCAAGACCATCCTGGCCAACATAGTGAAAACTGTCTCTACTAAAAATGCAAAATTGGCTGGGCGCGGTGGCTCAGGCCTGTAATCCAGGCACTTTGGGAGGCCGAGGTGGGCAGATCATGACGTTAGGAGATCAAGACCATCCTGGCCAACATGGCGAAACCCCATTTCTACTAAAAAAAAATACAAAAATTAGCTGGGTGTGGTGGCTTTTGCCTGTAATCTCAGCTACTCGGGAGGCTGAGGCAGGAGAATTGCTTGCACCCAGGAGGCAGAGGTTGCAGTGAGCCAAGATCATGTCACTGCACTCCAGCCTCGGAGACAGAGCAAGACCTTGTCTCAAAATAAATAAACTGGGGGCTGGGCGTGATGGCTCACGCCTGTAATCCCAGCACTTTGGGAGGCTGAGGTGGGTGGATCACAAGGTCAAGAGATCGAGACCATCCTGGTCAACATGGTGAAACCCCGTCTCTACTGAAAATACAAAAAATTAGCCGGGCATGGTGGCGCGTGCCTGTTATCCCAGCTACTCAGGAGGCTGAGGCAGGAGAATTGCCTGAACCCAGGAGGCAGAGGTTGCAGTGAGCCGAGATCGCGCCATTGGATGCACTCCAGCCTGGGTAACAAGAGCGAAACTCCGCCTCAGAAAAAAAAAAAAAAAAAGACTAAAGACAGGGTCTCAGGGTCTCTCTGTCGCTCAGGCTGGAGTGCAGTGACATGACTGGCTCATTACAGCCTCTACCCCCGGGCTCAAACGATTCTCCCACCTCAGCCTTCCAACGTGCTGCAATTCCAGGCATGTGCCACCATGCCTGTTCTCTACATTTTCTTCTTCTTTTTTCATTTTTTGAAACGAAATCTCGCTCTTTTACCCAGGCTGGAGTGCAATGGCATGATCTTGGCTCACTGCAACATCTGCCTCCCGGGTTCAAGCGATTCTTCTGCCTCAGCCTCCCGAGTAACTGGGATTACAGATGCCTGCCACCACGCCCACTTACTTTTTATATTTTTAGTAGCGATGAAGTTTAGCCACGTTAGCCAGGCTGGTTATGAACTCCTGACCTCAGGTGATCCACCCACCTTAGCCTCCCAAAGTGCTGGGATTACAGGCTGAGCCACCGCGCCCAGCCATGTCTGTTCACTTCTACTACACGCTTTCGCTGTCTTGCCCAGGCTGTGGTGCAATATATGATCATGGCTCACGGCAGCTTCCACCTCCCAGGCTCAAGCAATCAAGCGATCCTCCTGCCTCAGCTTCCCAAGTAGCTGGACTACAGGTGCATGTCACCATGCCCGGCTAATTTTGTTGTTTTTGTAGAGATGAGGCCTCACTATGTTGCACAAGCTGGTGTCCAGCTCCTGGGCTGGAGGGATCCTCCTGCCTCAGCCTCTCAGAGTGCTGCGATTACAGGCGTGAGCCACCACACCTGGTACAGAGTGTGTGCTTTTTTTTTCTGAGATGGAGTTTCGCTCTTGTTGCCCAGGCTGGAGTGCAGAGGCATCATCTCGGCTCACTGTAATCTCTGCCTCCCACGTTCAAGTGATTCTCCTGCCTCAGCCTCCCAAGTAGCTGGGATTGCAGGCATGTGCTACCACACCACACCCAGCAGCTTTTGTATTTTTAGTGGACACAGTTTCACCATGTTGGCCAGGCTGGTCTCGAACCCCTGACCTCAGGTGATCCACCTTCCTCAGCCTCCCAAAGTGCTGGGATTACAGGTGTGAGCCATCTGACTCAGCCCAAAAACGGGTTTTTGTTGTTTTTCTTTTTAAGAACAAATTTTGGAACCCGTGGTTCATTCCTTTAAATATCCTTCATTGCCACTCCAAACAAGGGATGGAGAAAGATTTACCAACCAAACAGAGAGCTAAAATAAATAAATAAAAAGCAGAAGTTACAATTAAGCAACAAAGATCAAAAGAAGCAAAGAAGGACATTATATAATGATAAAAGGATCAATGCAACAACAAGAAGAGCTAAAGATCCTAAATATATACGCACCCAATACAGGAATACGCAGACATACAAGACTTATAAAGAGACTTAGACTCCCACATAATAATAGTGGGAGACTTCAACATTAATATTAGACAGATCAATGAGACAGAAAATTAACAACGATATTCAGGACTTGAACTCAGATCTGGAACAAGTAAATGTAATTAACATTTATAGAACTCTCCATTTTAAATATACAAAATATACACTCTTATCAGTACCACATCATATCAACTTAGAAGTTTAAAAGAAATCTTGGTTGGCTCCTTGTTTGCTATTCTCTTCCCTCATTTTCTTTCATGTCTCCATTATTAAGGACAATTATAGGCATACCCATATTTAGACTGCATTCTAGCCCGGGCAATAAAGCAATACCCCCATCCTCTCTCCCTCTTCCTCTTTCTCTTTCTTCCTCTTCTTTAAAAAAAAAAAAAAAAAAAAAAAGCAACTTCCCTTTAGGCTTCTTCACCTTCAAGTCAGTGGTGTTATAGAG